TTCCAGGAGTCGCTACAGCATCTTCGGTGGATGCTGCAGAAAGACGTGCTCCAGCAAGATATGTTTCTTATCGGGTCCGTCGCCGCCGCGTTCTCTTGGCTCATGCGATGATGATCGTAGCCCGCCCGGGCCGGCGCGCCGCCACCTCGCCATGCAGTTTGCAGAGCTCTTGCAGCGCGAAGTCGAGTACGTAGCCATTTCGCAGGACACGACCGAGTCCGACCTCAAGCAGGTGCCAGCCTCCACCACCCAATATAATGCAAGCTCATGTCGGCGGGTAGCGTCGAGAGATCTCGGGCGGCGCCGCCATCTTCTCGGACCAAGCGCCTGTCCGCGCTGCCATGCACGGCCGCCTTCTTATCCTCGACGGTACGATACGCTCAATCACACAAGGTCGTCAACTCGATGCGCGCAGGCCTCGAGAAGGCCGAGCGCAACGTCCTCCCGACACTCAACAACCTCCTCGAGAACCGGTGGGTTCTGCATCTCGTCTATCGTGTCTTATGGATGCATGCAGAGAGATGGCGCTGGAAGACGGTCGGTTCCTCATGAAGGCCGAGAGGTAGACTGCTCTCGCCATTGTCTAATTGCACTCAATGGCTTGCAGCTACGACGCGCTGCTGGCGGCAGGCCACACGGCCGAGGCCCTCGCCGCGCAAAACCTCGTGCGCGTCGACCCCGCGTTCCGGGTCATCGCACTCGGGCTGCCCGTGCCGCCGTTTCCCGGGCGGACGCTGGACCCGCCGCTCCGATCGCGCTTCCAGGCCCGACGCATCTCGCCGCCGTCGCCGGGCGCGCGCCTTGAGAGTCTTTTGGCGACTCTGCCGGCGGCGTCGCTCCCGCTCACAGAGAAGCTCGTGGGGCTCCTCGAAGCCATCCACGTGGTTGAAAACATGACGACCCACGGCCAGCGGCCCCCGCACCTCGCGTCCATCGAGCACGTTGTCGCTTTGGCCACGGCGTTCCCATCGTCAGCGTGCTTGCGGGACGCTCTCCGGCGCGTCTTTCCCATTGAGCTCTGGACCGAGCACAAGGAGGCCATGGAGCGAGTTCTCGACACGTTCTTCCCGGCGACGCCATCGCCGTCGTCGTCGCCGAGCTACTTGCTGACAGCGACCTCATCGCACGCCGCGGACCTCGTCGTTGGCAAGGATCCTGCGATCTCGGTCGCGTGCGGGGCCTTGGGCCCGACGATGGCGCCGATGCCGGGCTACGTGGAGGCGCCGGCCTACCATAACGTGCTCACAACGATGCTGCAGGTACACGCTTCGTTGTCGCAGAAACACGACGAGCTGCGTAGGACCATGCACTCGGAAAGGACTTGTGCATTCTCGGACCCAAGGGTAGCGGCAAGTCGGGCTTGGCGCGCTTGTTTGCGCACCGGCTTGGGTACCCGTCCGAGCTCTTTACGCTCTTCAAGGACATGACGTCGCGCGACCTGTACCAGCGCCGGGCGACCGACGACCACGGCAACACGTACTGGGAGGACAGCCCGCTGGTTCTGTTTCATGTACTACGATGAAGCAATTGCTTAGAGACTGCTGCATGTAGTTGCATGCGGCCCGGCACGGCCATGTCGCGATCCTCGACGGCGTCCATCGGCTCCACGGCGACACCCTCGCGACGCTCCAGCGCCTCATGCAGGACCGCGAGATCGACCTCGCGGATGGCGCCAAGTTCATCTCGGCCGACAAGTCGGACGGCGCGGTGCCCATCCACCCGGCCTTCCGCATCCTCTGCCTCGGCGACAGCGCCGGAAAAGGCAAGTTCCCATCCTGGCTTTCGTCCGAGAGCCTGGCCATGATGACCTTTGTGCACGCACCGACGCTGTCACGCACCGAGCTGCAGCACATGCTCGCGGCCCTGAGCCCGTCGCTGCCATCGGCCGTCACCTCGTACCTCCCGTTGTGATACGTTGGCTTTCAACGACGATATTGAGTAGGGTGCTCGTGGCCTTTTGGGACCAGGTGCAAGCGACGCCGGAGCTGTCGCTCTCGCTGCGCCAGCTGCTGCGCATGGCCCGGCGCCTCGACGCGTTCCCTGACGCTGCGATGGCCGACCTCGGTGCCGTCGTTCACGACACGATGATGACGCAGTTTGTCGGGCCCAATTTGGCCAAGGCCATCCACCGGGCGCTGGACGCGTGCTACTCTCCGCCACCCTCGTCGCGTTCGGCGAGCGCGTTCGGTAGCTCCTTGCTCGGATGGCTCCCAACTCATTCGGTCTAGACGACGGACTCAACATCGAAGCGTCCAGCACGCGCTTGACGATCGGGAGCGTGACGTACCCGATTCGTACGGCGCCGGCCGCCCCGAGCTCGTGCCGCAGCCGCTCTACTATGACATCCCCAAGCACACGCGCGTGATGCAAAACGTGCTGCAGGTTCTCGTTTCCACGCAATTGCTCGGATCGACTGAGGTCGTGCGTAGGACATTGTGTCGGGCGAGCGCCACCTCTTGCTCATCGGCAACCAAGGCGTCGGGAAAAACAAGGTCGTCGATCGCCTTCTCCAGCTCATGCGCCAGGAGCGCGAGTACATCCAGCTCCACCGCGACGTACGTCCCCTCGTTGCTCTTAATCGCCGAGTGTGTACGACGACATGTAGACGACCGTGCAAACGCTGACGCTGGTGCCGTCCTTGGCCAACGGCAAGATCACGTGGGAAGACTCGCCCTTGGTGCGCGCGGTCAAGGAAGGCCGGACGCTGGTCGTCGACGAGGCCGATAAGGCACCTCTCGAAGTCGTGTGCGTGCTCAAGGGCCTCATCGAAGACGGCGAAATGCTGCTCGTACGACCACACTCCATGTCGACATACAATATTACATGGCGCGCTAGGGGGATGGCCGTCGCATTCTGGATCCGACCAAGGTCGCCACCGACGGCGTCGACGCGAACAAGACGATCCTCGTGCACCCCAACTTTCGCATGTGGGTGCTCGCCAACCGGCCGGGGTACCCGTTCCTCGGCAATAACCTCTTCTCGGAGATTGGCGACATCTTTGCGAGCCAGTAGGATCCTTCTCTCTCGACAGCGTTCTGTGCTCATGCGATACACCAATAGCTCCATCGACAACCCGGACGCCGCGTCCGAGCTGGCGCTGCTGCGGGCATACGCACCGAGCGTGCCCGTGGACGTCCTCCAGCGGCTCTGCGCGGCGTTCGCTGAGCTCCGGCAGCTCGTCGACGACGGCGCGATCACGTACCCGTACTCGACGCGCGAAGCCGTCGCGGTCGCCAAGCACCTCGAGACGTTCCCGGAAGATGGCGTGACCGAGACGCTGGAAAACGTCTTGGCGTTTGACGCATACGACCTGAACTTGCGCCAACTGCTCGCGTCCGTCTTCCTCCGGTACGTCTTTAGATCTCTAAGACCATGGGCAGACGACGGTGTCGGTAGACATGGCCTCTGAGTGGTTCTGGATATGATGCTCAATACACGTATTCTGTTGGTAGTCATGGCATCCCTCTCTCTTCGGACGCGTCGGCGCGACGCAAGATTGCGATTGACGTCGCGCCGTCAACGCCTCTGCCACCGCGCACCAAGATCGACACGTGGAAGCGGGGACCGTCGACGCAGCTCCCTGTGCAGCACCTCGCACTCAAGACGCGGCGCGTGTACATTGAACCGCCGACGTCGCGAACCTACGGCGTCGATTACCACCGGCGCGAGATCTTTACGGAGCAAGTGGCGTCGTGGACGGTGCCGCTGAGTGCGCACCAAGTGGCCACGTCCTTGGCCGTGCTGCCGTCGACCTCGATGCACGGTGCGTCAACCTTATGACTCGAAGTGGTGGCGACTCTAGCGTACTAGTGGCGACCGCCCAGCCGCTCGGTATTCACTCGTACTTTGGCACCGACCGGTAGACTCTAAACGAGGTGTTGAGAGGTTGATGCTGAACGATTAACAGGAAACACCTCTACACGGAGCTCGAAGACAGCTACGGCTACACGCGCAACACGTCGCCTCGCATTTACCCGTACGGAAACGACCTCCTCCTTTACGTGCCCAGCGCAGGTCCATTTTCATCTCTCAAGCCGTCACTGGATGCAACGTGGTAGACTTGGTTCTGCACCTCTCGGAGAACCACGTGGTGCGTCAATCGTACGTGCTGCCGTCCATAAGCCCAAAGCGCTCGTCGCGCAATATGTTTCAGTGGACGCCAGGTACTCGACTTGTTGGCTCCTTCCCTTCCATCAATGTATCAATTTTGGCTCTAGAACGGACCGAGACACAGGCAGTTGTCGACGCGACCGAAGGCAAGATGGTGCTCTTCCAGGCTGGGACGCCGACGCTTCAGATCGTCGACTTGAACAACGAGTCGACGACGGTCGTGACGACGCCGGCGCCCGTGGCGGCTGTCCACCTCTCGCCCGACGCTGGTGTCTACCGCGTCCACTACCTTGGTGACGACGCCAACGTGTACCTTGTCGATGCGTCCGAGGGCCGCCGCGTGACGCAGCACCAGCTGTCGACAAAGGCATCGTACGCCTTGTCGACGCCGCCGACGTGTCGCGACCACACGCAGCTTCTCGCGCACCCAGCAGCAGCGTATCAAGAACTCGAGGCCTCGGACGATGGAAGCGTTGTGGATGTCTTCTCGGTCCCGCGCACCTCGGCCGATGACGGGGCGCGTGTCACCTCGGCGGTCTTTGAGAGCCCGCGCCTTGTCACGAGTTATGCGTCCTCGCTGAGCGTCGTGGACGTGGTGTCCGAGACGAGCAAAGACGTTGCCGTCATGACGGCGACGCGTCACGAGACCAAGAAGAAGACGAACGACGTTGTGGCCATTGCCGCGTTGAAGGATGGGGAGATCCTCTCGCTGCAGTCGCAAGGCGACCTGCGGCGGTGGCAGCTGGACCCGGCCGCGCTCGCGCAGGACTTGGCGAGCTGGAAGTACATGTTTGACCACGACACACGCGCAGGTGTCGTGACGCCGCTGGAGCTTCAAGACGGCGGCGGCGCGTCGACGCCCAAGACCGATGCCAGTATGCCCAAGTACGGCAAGGACGACCCGGACAACACGCCCCACGTACACAGCGCTGCCATAGCGCTGGTTGATGTAGGTGTATAGGTCGGTGGCAACACATGGGCGGGTGGCACTGGCGGCTCGGACACGGCGGGGCTCGGCGGCCGCGGCGGCCCCTACCGCCTCGACAAGGGCCATAAAGTGCACCAAGTGTCGCAAGCCAAGAAAGACGAAGTGAGCGCCGAAGCCCGCGCGAAGGCCAAGGCCATGGCGGACGCTGCGCTGCAGCAGAAGCTCAAGGACATTGACATGACGGGCGGCGAGTGGCAAGCGTATCAAAAGGTGTCTTGCGACGGATGCAACGACTACTGAGGATTGCAATCGAACTGTAGTACCTCGGCCGCATCGAGCAAGAGACGGACCAGCTGCGCAGTGTCTTGAGCAACCTGGAAGCGATCGAGAAGGAGCGCGGGTGGCTCAAGCACCAATCGAGCGGCGAGTGGGATGACGCGAAACTCGTCGACGGCATCGCGGGCGACCGCAACGTCTTCAAGCGGCGCGGTGTCGCCGACACGCCCGACGGCCTCCACCTCGCGCCGCTCAAGAAGCGCATGCTCTTCGTCATGGACGTCTCTGGCAGCATGTACCGCTTCAACGGCCAAGACATATCCTTTGCCACGACGTGTCCTCTTGATAGCTTGATATTACGTGGATGGTTGCCCTAACACCACGTTGCACGGACGTTTAGAGCGCATGCTAGAGACGACGATGATGGTCATGGAGGCCTTTGCCGGCTTCGAGGCCACGGTCGAGTACGCCATCATGGGCCACAGCGGTGACGCGCCCGCGATTCCCTTTGTGGCCTTCAACGAGCCGCCTGCGGACCGCAAGCAGCGACTCCAGGTACCCACCTTGCCCTTGCCGTCCCGACTAAGATCTGAAACGTAGGTGCTGCAAAAAATGCTGGCGCACTCGCAGTACTGCAGCAGCGGAGACCACACGGTGCACGCGATTCACGACGCCGTGCGCAGCGTCACGACGGCCGACGGCGACGAGTACTTCGTGTTTGTCGTGAGCGACGCCAACCTGGACCGGTACGGTATCCACCCCAAGGTCCTCGGGCGAGAGCTCGCCGCCGACAGTCGCGTCAACGCCCACGCCATCTTCATCGCGTCCTTTGCCGACGAAGCGACTCGGATCCTCTCGCACCTCCCGCCGGGCCACGGCCACGTCTGCCTCGACACCTCGGACTTGCCGCGCGTCTTCAAGCGCATCTTTACGTCGTCGCTTCAAAAATGAGGTCGCTGCTTCCGTCTAGAACGTAGGACCAGATGTCTAACTAGATTCTAGAGTGGTAACCAGATTCTAGAGTCTAGACTAACATGATGCAAGTCAGCAGGTGAGCAGCTCAGCCGAGCCTGTCACAATGTGGTCGAACTGGCGCCAGGTCGACGCCTCGTCGCTGATTGGCCATAATGTTTTGAATGGACCAATGGCATCGCGGCGTGCCACTGAATCGTTCGTCGTCGTGAGTCAGTTGGTCATGGGCTGCGTCCTCACGACGTGCAGCGGTAGCAGCGACCCGCCGGCGAACGGCTTCCGCCAGCAGTTTCTCCTCGGCGAGAAGATCGGCGAAGGCGCCTTCAGCGTCGTGCGCAAGGCCATCGAGAAGGCGTCCGGTAAAACGTTCGCGGTCAAGTGCTTCCGCAAGGCCAAGCTCTCGGAGCAGGATGTCAAGGACATTTACCTCGAGGTCGACCTCCTGAAGCAGATGAGCCACCCGCACGTGCTCAACCTCCACGCGTTCTTTGACGAGGCCGAGTACTACTATACTGTCATGGACCTCGTCGAGGGCGGCGAGCTCTTTGATCGGATCGTCGAGAAGGTCTTCCTCGTCATCGGCTTGCGCAGCTTACGCCGTCGTGTTTATAGGAGTACTACACGGAGAAGGAGTGCCGGGACTTGATCAAGATCCTCCTCGAGACGATCCAGTACTGCCATGGCCTCGGCATCGTCCATCGCGACCTCAAGGTAGTGCCATCGCCGACATGTGGTTCTGACAATGACCGCGTACTAGCCGGACAACATCTTGATGACGAGCCGGGACGACGACGCGTCGATCAAGATTGCCGACTTTGGCCTCGCCAAGCAAGACGCGATGGAGAACAACATGATCTCGTCCTGCGGCACGCCCGAGTACATCGTGCTTGCGCGCCTTCCCATGTGCTCACATATACACTAGGTACATTGCGCCGGAGATTGCGCGCAACGTCTTCTCCAAGGAGAAGACGCCGTACGGCAAGGCGGTCGACATTTGGTCGATTGGTGTCATCACCTACGTGCTTCTCTGCGGCTACACGCCGTTCCATGCCAACAACCAAGTGCAGCTCTTCCGCAAGATCCTCAAAGGCCACGTCGAGTTCAACTCGCCGTACTGGGACGACATCTCGGCCGACGCCAAGCACTTTGTCTCCAAGATGCTCGTCGTCGACCCGACCAAGCGGTAGACGCGACCAGTACCGGTATGCGCGCTCACTCGAACCCTTGGAATTAGAGCGACGGCGGCGCAGCTGCTCGAAGATCCGTGGGTCGTCGGCCAAGACGTCTCGGACGCGCAGCTGCCAGGCGTCATCAAGCGCATGAACTCGCGCCGCCGCCTCAAGGCCGCGATGGCCACGGTAGGCCGACGCACGGACCAGCTCTGGACGACGATGGACATGTGATGTCGTAGGTGCACAGCACGATCGCGCTCTCGAAAGCCATCGGCAAGGGCAGCGAGAAGGCCACGGTCGCGTAGGCCTAACGGGGCGAATTTCATGTCTTTGATTGAGTTCTTAGTCGTGACTTTGCCGATTTCGGGATCTTTGACCATCATTCATATCGGAACCTCTCAGAATGCATACGCCAATGTATCGAATCGCAGAGGTGTTTTGCGGGCAGCCCCATATTGGTTTGTATCCTCGCAGCGAAGGAACGAAGAGTATGTTGGCCGTCGCAACCCCGATGGCGCCGAAAGCCAGCACAGGTACCGACCACTGCCGATGCTAGCGCCTGCTTGGCGGCCTCGCCTGCGCGGGCGGCGACGGCCCCATGCAGGCCATGGCTATGGCGACGACATGGATCTTATGCACGTGCTTGGTAGCCTCGGGCATCTTGGCCTTGCTCGAAGAGCAAGACGACGTGCTTCGCGTACGATGGCCCATGGATAGGTCTCCCAGAACTCATGGACATGGCTAGGCGCACGCGCTCCAGAAGCTCCACGACGTCGTGGACCATTACTGGGCCGAAATTGCGGACGCCGTTCCGCTCATCGAAAGTCTCTCGGAAGAAGACGCGTTCCCGCACCGCGAGCTGGCGGCGTCGGTCGCGTCAAAGTGCTTCTTCCATCTCGAGGAGTACCACGATGCGCTTCGCTTGGCCCTCGGCGCCGGCAAGTACTTTGACGTCAACAGCTCGTCGCCCTACACAGAAACGATCATTGGTACGTCGACTGCGTGCGCTTGGATATATATCTGACCTGTATGCTAGCGACGTGCATTGATGAGTACATTGCCATTCGCACGAGCGCGGACCCGGCGCCGCTGGACCCGCGCCTGGTGGCGATTGTAGAGCAGATGTTTGACCGGTGCTACGCGTCGGGCACGTACAAGCAGGCGCTTGGCGTCGCCCTCGAGGCGCGCCGCCTCGACAAGGTCGACGAAAGCTTGCGCAAGTCGTCCGACGTCAGCGCGATGCTCTCATATTGCTTTGAGATTTGCCGCACGATGGTGACGAACCGCGACTTCCGCCTCCAGGTCATCAACGTCATGGTCGCGGTGTACAACTCGCTGCCCGTGCCCGAGTACTCGAACGTGAGCCAGTGTTTGCAGCTGCTCGACAAGCACAGCGACGTGGCTGTGCTCCTCGCGTCGCTCGTGCAGCCGACCAAGCCGCTCGACGACGCGCTTGTTGCGTACCAGGTCGCGTTCGACTTGGCGGCCAACGACAACCAAAAGTTCCTGACCAACGTGCTTGGCGCGCTCCCGGAGACTGCGGCCAACGACCGTCTGGCGACGCTGCGCACGATCCTCCAGGGCGACTTTTCCGTCGACCTCTTCCTCGACTTTATGTTTCGGCAGTCGGACGCGGACCCGCTCGTGATGAAGCAGATCAAGGTGGCGGTCGAGAACCGCAACTCGGTCTTGCACAACGCGGCGGTCTGCAGCCACGCGCTCATGCACTGCGGCACAACTGTTGACACGTTTCTGCGCGAAAACCTCGACTGGCTCGGGAAGGCGAGCAACTGGGCCAAGTTTACGGCCACGGCCAGCATCGGTGTCATCCACAAGGGCCACACGCGCGAGAGCATGAACCTCCTCGCGCCGTACCTGCCATCGACGCCGGGCGTGCCGTCGCCGACCTCGAACCCGTACTCGGAGGGCGGCGCGCTCTACGCGCTCGGCCTTATCCACGCCAACAAGGGCTCGTCGACGACGCTCGAGTACCTCCGCGCGGCGCTGCGCAGCTCGGGCACGGACGAGGTCGTCCAGCACGGCGCGTGCCTCGGTATTGGCCTCGTGGGCATGGCCACGGCCAACGCGGAGATCTACGAGGAGCTCAAGAACATCCTCTTCACGGACAATGCGGTCGCGGGCGAAGGCGCGGGCCTTGCGATTGGGCTCGTGCACTGCGGCGCGGGCGACACGCCGGTGGGCGGCGACATGATCAAGGAGCTCTTGAGCTACGCGCACGACACCAAGCATGAAAAGATCATCCGCGGCGCCGTCATGGGCATTGCGCTCATGCTCTACGGCCGCGAAGAGCACGCGGAGGCGGTGATCGAGCAGCTCACGCGCGACAAGGATCCGATCGTGCGCTACGGCGGCGTGTACACGATCGCGATGGCGTACGTGGGCACGGCCAACAACCACGCGGTCAAGCGGCTCCTGCACATTGCCGTGAGCGACGTCAGCGACGACGTGCGCCGCGCCGCGGTCACGTGCCTCGGCTTTGTGCTCTTCCGCACGCCGGCGCAGGTCCCGAAGCTCGTGTCGCTCCTCGCCGAGAGCTTCAACCCGCACGTGCGCTACGGCGCGTGCATCGCAGTCGGCATTGCGTGCGCCGGCACCTTCAAGAACGAGGCGATCCAGCTCCTCGAGCCAATGCTCGACGACGCGGTCGACTATGTACGCCAAGGCGCGCTCGTTTGCGCTCGCGATGGTCGTCATGCAAGAGTCGGACGGCCGGTCGCCCAAGGTCAAGGAGATCACGGAGAAGATGCGCAAGCTCACGTCGGACAAGCACGTGACGACGATGACCAAGATGGGCGCGGTCCTCGCGCAGGGGCTCCTCGACGCGGGCGGCCGCAACGTGGCGATCTCGCTCCAGTCGCACACGGGCTTCACCAAGATGTCGTCCGTGGTCGGCCTCGCGCTCTGGGCGCAGCACTGGTTTTGGTACCCGCTGCACCACTTTATTGAGCTCTCGTTCCAGCCGACGGTCGCGATCGGTCTCAACAAGGACCTCAAGATGCCCACGTCGTTTGGGCTGACGTGCAACACGAAGCCGTCGGCCTTTGCGTACCCCAAGCGCCTCGAGGAGAAGAAGGAGGAGAAGAAGGAGCTGGTCGCGACCGCGATTCTCTCGACGACCGCCAAGGCCAAGGCGCGCCTCGCCAAGCAGGAGGCCAAGGACGCCGCGCCGGTCGTGGAAGACAAGCCGGACGAGGAGATGGCGGCGGCGACGCCGGCCCCCAAGAAGGTCAAGGAGCCGACGTCGTTTACGCTCAAGAACCCGGCGCGCGTGACGCTCGCGCAGGAGCAGCACCTCGCGTTCGACTGGAGCCAGCGCTACGTGCCGGTCGTCGCCACGCGTCGGCCCGCGGGTATCATCATTCTCAAGGACCGGACGCCAACCGACGCCGAGGTGGTCGTCGCGGTGCAGGCGCCGTCGCAGGGCAACGCAGGTGCCGAGGAAGAAGCCGAGCCGCCGGCGCCGTTCGAGTGGGAGCCGCCGGCCCCGTAAGAGGCGAACGATGTGCACCGTCGGGTTTATATGATGCTGATCAACATGGGTTACTACACTTTTGTGCTTGCCTCTCCTACTCTCGTGTACTCGAAGTCACGGACATCATGGTCGGTGCTAATTCATACCTTTTTATGGGACCATCCTACAGTAGACTGTGGAAGCAGCGAAGCTGCTGTGGACTTGTCAGTATCGCCAATGCACGCACGAAAGAACGTCCAAGGAGCCCACGGTGTCCGCTGCCGGCGTTGAGCGGATCAAGTGTCTCGATAGTGCCATGCGCGTCATTTATTATCTTCTCACAGACACCACGACGCGCCAAGCCAAACCCATTCGCATTGCGTCTTGCTAGTGTTGGGACATGTGCTCTTTGGTTTCGGTCGGACTAGGCGCAGTAGGTGGATCTCTGCGATCGATTGTCGGGTTCGATTTGGTAGCGTGCAATCGAGCAGGGTGTCTCGGTGGCCTGTGTGGATGCTACAGTACTATCGGTGCGGTGCTGCTCCAGCCACTGGATGACGTGGAGATGCCCGTTGACAGCGGCCTCGTCCATGGCAGCGGTCGTACACGACGCGGCACCGCCATCGTGGAGCCGCTGGAGGACCTCGAGGTGACCGTCCTTGGCAGCTACATTCATCGCCATACCGTCGCGTTGATACTGATCGATGTAGCCAAAGTCGAAGACCCGCTTCTGGTCGATGAGGCGACGGAGGAGCTGGCGATGACTGCGGCACGCAGCGTTCATGTCCAGTCCCCCACGTTGGCGCTGCAAAGCTCTTGTTGCAGTACTAGTAGTTACTTTCTTGGACGCTCTACCAGCCATTGCTTGTGATCATCACGTTGTTGCACATGGTCTTGAGCGGATGCAAGCATAGTCGGTACCTCGGTGACGGTGGGAGACGCTGCCGAAGGCGTCGGCCCAGAAGCGCGTCTCGGGTTCTTCGCGATTCCTCGCGTCGAATTGCAGCTCCGCGTCAAGGACGCCGGGAAGGAGCTGTGTCAATGGACCCGCTAAGGCCAAGACGAGCGGCTGCCCATCCACTATGGTTGCCCACATGATGATGGCACGAGTAGAAATGCGTCGCCTCTCATCAAGACGTCGCGGAAGACATAAGTGATGGGTCGTCAAGCTGTCGTCGGTGGGTTATGGCAGCTGGCACCTTTGGCGCATGATTGGGCGGCTTGCGTCTTGGCTCTTGATACACATCTCCTGCGATGCCACGAGTGGTGTCAAGATGGTCAGGCGTCATTGAGGTGGATGTCCTCTCCATGGCTGTACCTGTTATGTACGCGTACATGTACTCGTACATGTACTTTGAAGAACCGCTTGTGTGTGCACCACCAGCGAAATCCCCGTGCGCGCGTGCGGTGCCATGTTCTGTCTTCTTCCGTTCCCATTCACGTCATCTACCTCGTTGGCCCACGCATTTCCTCGGCGCATCCGTCGCCTGGTCCAATTGAAAACATCGAAGATTTGATGGGGCAATTCCCTCACAACCACCGTTCGGGTCGGATATGATATCCGGATGGAATCTCTATCCGGACAATCTTTGGGAGGCGTCGCGAGCCAGATCTCGAATTCGCTGGCCGGGCCACCAGGCCCCACATGAGCTGCAATAGCTTCGACGAGACGGAGCTGCTCGTGGCGTGGATCTGTGAGCGCATCCGGCTGCCGGGCTACGCGCCAACTAAGTGGTCGCCGGCCGACTCGGCGATCGTCAAGGAGTTTGCCGAGAGTCCCAACGTGCCCGCGCTCTTCGTGTCGACGCAGCCGCCCACCGGCGGCCTCCGCGTGAGCACCGTCGCGCCGCGCGACGCCAGCTCCATCTTTTACTTTGTCAAGAACGGCCAAGTCGCAGTAAAAGCGGCGACCGCCGGCAGCAGCCTCCAGTTCGGCTCGATTTCGGGCGAAGGCATTGCGTCATTGCTGCAGCTCATGAACACATTCTACCTCCAGCGACTGCAGCACGAGAAGAACTGGCCCGAGTCTGTGCAGAAGGAGTTCACTGCGCAGTTCTACCGCTTCATGTCGAGCTTGACCGAGACCGTATCTCGGGGCCTCGGCAAGACGGTGCTGTACCTTCCGCCGATCGCGACCGAGAAGATGAACCACAAGGACAAAGACCTCGTGCAGCAGCTCGAGTCGACCGTCATCCACTGGACGCGGCAGATCAAGGAGGTTGTCAACAACCAAGACAACGCCCACGATGCGGAAGGCGCGGGGCCGCTCGAAGAGATCAAGTTCTGGGAGCACCGCACCGAGGACCTCTCGGGCATCACCGAGCAGCTCAACCGTCCGGGCGTGAAAGACATCGTCGACATTCTCAGTTTAGCGAAATCGTCGTACTTGCAGCCGTTTGAAACCCTCAGTCAGATCATCAAGCAAGGGTCGTTCGAGGCCAACGACAACCTTCGGTTCCTCAAGAAGCTCTGTCCGATCTGCGAGCAGATGGCGAAAGCGACGCCGAGCGAGATCCCGGCGCTCTTGCCCAAGCTCCTGACGTCCATCCGGCTCATTTGGATGTACTCGCGCTACTACAACACGGAAGACCGCATCACGTCGCTCCTCCGCAAGGTCTCGAACGAGATCATCGCGCTCTCGGCCAAGACGATCTCGCTACGCGACATCTTTGACGGCGACGTCGTCCGCAGCATCCGCAACCTCGAGGAAACCATCGCATGCGGTGTCGCGTGGAAGACGATTTACGCCAACGTCACCAGCGCCGTCCAGCGCGAGGGCGCGCTCAAGTGGCACTTCGATGACACGAGCATTTTCGCGCAGGTCGACGCGTTCGTGCAGCGCTGCCGCGAGCTCCTCGAAGTCTGCGAGGGCCAGATCCAGTTTGCGCGCAAAGGCGGCGGCTCCACGAGCCTGCCATGCTTTGGCGGCAACCGCGGACTCGAGATCGTCAAGTCGCTCATGGGCATCGAGACGCAGTTTGAAGGGCACATCGACCGCCTGCGCAAGCTCGACTACGACATCCTCGACGTCAAGATCACGTTCTGGCACAGCGACTTCAACGCGTTCAAGAATGGCGTCAAAGACTTGGAGGCCATGACGCAGAATGTTGTCAACGCCGCCTTCGACTCGGTGTCCACCATTGCGGCCGGCTGCGATCTCTTGCAGGCCTTCCAGACCATCTCCAAGCGCGAAGCCATTCGGCGCTGCCTTGAGAAACGCACGATCGACGTGTATGCCATGTACAAGGCGCAGATCTCGACCGTTCGGAGTCTCTTTGAGAAGAACAAGGGCGCACCCCCGCTCTCGGCCACGGAGCCGCAGTACGCGGGCGCGGCGCTCTGGGCGCGCGGCCTCCTCCTCAAGTGCAAGGAAGATCTCATGCGACTCTCGCAGCTCACGAGCCTGCCCTCCGGCGCGATCGAATTCGAGGAAGCCACGTCGCACTTTGACGGTCTCAAGGCCGTGCTGAACGACTACATTCAGAAAAAGTACCACGACTGGATCGACGAGCTCAACGAGCTGGGGCAAGCAAATCTCAACGCGCGGCTCGAGAACCCCCTCATGACCAAAGTCGGCGCGGAGATGCTCGCGTCCACAGCGACCTTGCCCGCGGCCAACGCCAGCACCAACGCCAATGCACTGCCCGCCTCCGGCGACGCGCCGGTCGAGAAGCTCATCGGCCGATCCAAGAAAGGGTTTCTGCACTGCAATTTTGACCGCCCGCTCCTCCAGCTCTTCGCCGAGGTGCACTATTGGCTCTACTTTAACGGCGAGGTCCAGATCCCGTACATCGCGCACGACATTTGCAACCAAAAGGAGCAGCTGCGGGTGCTGCGCGAACACGTCGTGCTCGTCATCCGCGACTACAACCGCATTTTGCACGAGCTCTCGTCGACCGAGCGCCGGCTCTTCGACGACATCATCCGGAAGCTCGACCGGCGCATCCAGCCCGGGCTCCAAAAGCTCACGTGGCAAAGCAAGGGCATCGTCGACTGGTATGTGGCCGACTGCCGGAAGCACTGCGACACGACGTTCCGCATCGTTCGCGAGTTTCAGGACAATAAGGAGCTGATTGCGAGCAACTGCAAGATGATAGCGGGGCTCATGCACATTGCGATCGAGCGCAACTCGGTCTACGACGACGGTGTCTTTGAAGTCAAGCAAGCGAGCCATCGAAAAGAGATTGAGAAGAAGCTACGGGACGCGTACGAGAGCATCCGCAGCACGATGGGGGCCATGTACACGCACTTTGCAAGCGGCCCGCCAGACGTCCAGCGCGAGTGGGCGCGGTTTGTCGAGCGCGCGGACAAGAGCCTCGAGGACGCGCTTCGGCAGAGTGTGAAAAAGTCGCTGCAAGAGCTCAGCAAGGCCATCAACGGTGACGCCAAGACGGACCCGCACCCGCTCTTCCGCGTGCACGTGGTCCTCGAGGACGGCCGCGTCGAGTTCCACCCGCTCATGGCCAACCTCACGCAGATGGTCAACACGGTCGCCAAGGAGATCTTCAACGTCATCTCGGTCGTGCCGCGGCTCACGTCGCTGCTGACCAGCACGACAGAGCCGCATGTTATCGACGCGCCGGGCGTCGAAGCCACGTTTTACCAGTCGATCTTCCAGGACGAAGAAATCCTCAAGGTTCTCGTGCACATCATGAACGGCATGTCGGCGAGCGCGACGGAGCTGCAAAAGTACCTCGGGTACTGGGACAAGTACAAGCTCTTGTGGAACCAAGACAAGCAAGCGTTCATTCGGCGCTACGCCAAGGCCAACCGCCCGCTCTCGCAGTTCCGCGTCGATATTGAACGGTATCGGGAGCAGCAAGTCTCGATCACAAACGAAGACCTCACCAACACGATCAATTTCGTGCAAATTGACACCAACTTGCTCAAAGCGAGCCTCGTCGACCATACGGTGCAGTGGATCGGCAAGCTCACGGGCCTCCTCAACCAAACCGCGGCCGACGAGCTGCGCGCGCTCAACCTGATGATCAAGGAGAACACGAAGAAGCTGCTCATCAAGCCAAGCAACCTCGACCACCTCGGACAGAGCATTACGCTGCTGCAGGAAATCAAGGACTCGGCGCCGAGCGTCGAGGCGCAGTTCGAGCCGCTGCAACAAAAGTACGACCTCTTGGCCGAGTTTGACGTGCAAATTTCCGACGACGAGGCGCGGGACCTCGCGGGCTTGCGGCCGCAGTGGGAAGCGTACGAGCTCATGATGGTGGAGGCGAACGCGATGCTGCAAAAGTGCAAGATGAGCATGAAGCAGTCGCTCCAGGACACGGTCGCGGAGCTGAGCCACCACATGATCGAGCTCCGCAACGAAGCGGTGGCGTCGCTGCCCTACTCGGACGTCGACACGACGTCGGCCTCTGCGCATGGAACGCTGCTTGCGTTTGAAGCCAAGATGGAGGCGACGCGCGCGCGCCAGGCAGCGCTCAAGAAGGGCCTCGACATCTTCGGTATCGAAGAGTCGCCGAACGAGGACTTTGTTCGAACTGAGAAGGAGTTGGAGCTGCTGCAGACGATCTGGGCCATCTACGACGAGTGGGACGGCGTCTGGTCGAGCTGGAAGCACAACGTGTTCACGTCCTTGGACGTCGAGCGCATGGAGATGACGGCGGCGCAGTTCTTCAAGAAGATCTCCAAGGCCGGCAAAGACATGAAGGAGTGGGCGGTCTGGGCGTCCATGAAGGAGAAAATCGACCAGTTCCGCGCGACCTTGCCGCTGATCCAGGACCTCAAGAACGAAGCGCTCCGGCCGCGCCACTGGGCGATGCTCAAGGAGGAAATGGAAAAGTTCTTTGACGCGACGGCCCAAGACTTTACACTCGAGAAGGTCTTCTCGCTCGGCTTCCACTTGCACGCCGAGTACATCTCGAGCATGTCCTCGAACGCGTCCAAGGAGCTCTCGATCGAGCAGGCGCTCGATGGGATTGCCGAGCGCTGGAACGGCATCGACCTCGACCTCGTCGAGTACAAGTCGGTGTACTTTAAAGTGCGGTCGGCCGAAGACCTCTTTACCTCGCTCGAAGATGACCAGGTGCAGCTCTCGACGATGAAGGCGTCGCCGTTCTTCGAGGCGTTCAAAGCCAAGATCTTGTACTGGGAGGCATCGCTCTCGCACGTCTCCGAGGTCGTCGAGACGCTTCTCGGGGTCCAGCGCTGCTGGATCTACCTCGAGTCGATCTTCATGGCGAGCGAAGACATTCGGAAGCAGCTGCCGCTCGAGTCGGCGCTCTTTGATGACGTCAACCAGGGCTACATCCGCGTGACGACGTCGATGGCGTCGGCCAAGAACGCTCTCAAAGGCACTCATCTCCCCAACACGCTCGAGACGCTCGTCGACATGCAGGCCAAATTGGATCAGATCCAGAAATGTCTCGACCAGTACCTCGAGACGAAGCGCATGCTCTTCCCGCGCTTCTACTTTCTCTCGAACGACGATTTGCTCGAGATCCTCGGGCACCAAAAGGACCCGGATCAAGTCCAGAAGCACATCAAAAAGTGCTTTGAAGCCATCAAGTCGCTCTTCCTCCTGCACCCTGGCACGCGCGGCAACCTCACCTTCGAAGCGGCCGGCATGAACGCGCCGGACGGAGAGCAAGTGTTGTACCTCAACAACGTGGTTGTAGCCGGCGCTGTCGAAATGTGGCTTTTACGCGTCGAAGCAGCCATGGTCGCGTCGCTCCAGAAGCTCTTTGCCGCCTGCCTCGTCGGGTACCGCGGCAAGAAGGACAAGTGGATCAAAGAGTTTCCAGGGCAGCTCCTCATCACGTGCGGCCAGACGGCGTGGACAAACGAGTGCATCAAAGCCCTCAACGACGTGTCCAAAGGCGACAAGAAGGCGCTAAAAACCCTCAAGAAGAAATGGATTTCGTACCTGAACAAACTCGCCGACATGGTCCGCGGCCAGCTCTCGTCGATCGACCGCAAGAAGCTGGTCGCGCTCATCACAATTGAGATTCACTCGCGCGACGTGATCGACCGCCTCGTCAAGCAAGCGTGCAAGTCGACCAACGACTTCGAGTGGCTCATGCAACTGCGCTTCTACTTCAACAAGGACCTCGGCGACCACGGAATCTGCGAAGTCAAACAAACGGTCACGTGTCTTCAGTACAGCTACGAGTACCAGGGCAACAACGGCCGCCTTGTGATCACGCCCCTCACGGACCGCTGCGTGCTTACCATGACGACGGCGCTGCATCTCAACCGCGGCGGCAATCCGCTGGGCCCTGCCGGCACGGGCAAGACCGAGACCGTCAAGGATCTCGGGAAGAACCTCGCCAAGTACGTCATCGTCTTCAACTGTTCGGACGGTCTCGACTACAAGTCGGTCGGGCGCATGTTTGCCGGCCTTGTGCAGTCAGGCGGCTGGGGCTGCTTCGATGAGTTCAACCGCATTGAGATCGAAGTGCTCTCGGTCGTTGCGCAGCAAGTGCTCACAATCATGCAAGCGCTGACGATGAAGTCCAAGGAGTTCGTCTTCCTCGGCACCATGATCCAGTGCAACCACAACATGGGCATCTTCATCACGATGAACCCGGGGTACGCCGGGCGCACGGAGCTGCCCGACAACCTCAAGGCACTGATGCGTCCGTGCGCCATGATGGTGCCAGACCTCGCCTTGATTGCCGAGGTGATGCTGCAAGCAGAGGGCTTTCGCGACGCCAAGGTGCTCGCCAAGAAGACGACGACGTTGTACGGCCTCATGATCCAGCAGCTGAGCAAGCAAGACCACTACGACTTTGGGCTTCGCAGTCTCAAAGCCGTGCTCAACATGGCCGGCGCGCTCAAGCGAGAGGACCCCAACATGCAGGAAGAGCACATCCTCCTGCGTGCGCTGCGAGACATGAATGCGCCCAAGTTTGTACGCGAAGACGCCGCGCTCTTCAAGCTCCTCCTCGGCGACCTCTTTCCGTCGATCGAGCTGCCGATACCGGATTATGGCGCGCTGCAGAACGCGATTCAGCGCGAGCTCGTGAGCCAGGGCCTCCAGTTGCACCCGAACATTCTCTTCAAGACAATCCAAATGTACGAGAGCCAAGCGACGCGCCACTGCAACATGATTGTGGGCCAGACCATGGCCGGCAAGTCGACGGTGTGGAAAACCCTCCAGATGGCCAAAACGCTTTTGGCGAAAGAGGGCGTGAGTGGGTACACCCCCGTGCGCGTCCAGGTGCTCAATCCCAAGTCGATTTCGCTCAACGAGATCTACGGCGTGTACGACCTCGCGACCTTTGAGTGGATCGACGGCATCCTCAGCGCCATCTTCCGCACGCTCGCGAGCGACGAAAAGCAAGATGAGAAGTGGATCATGCTCGACGGGCCGGTCGACACGCTGTGGATCGAGTCGATGAACTCGGTCATGGACGACAATAAAGTGCTCACGCTCATCAACGGCGACCGCATCGGCATGAGTCCGTCCATGGCGCTTCTCTTCGAAGTCCAAGACCTCTCAGTCGCCTCGCCCGCGACCGTCTCCCGCGCCGGCATGGTGTACATGGACGTCGAAGACCTCGGGTGGCGTCCGTACGTGCAGACGTGGCTGGACACGAGCATCGTCGACGCCGACGAGCGCGAGCTCCTCAAGGCACTCTTTGAAAAGTACGTGGTCAAACTGCTCGCGTTTCGCCGGACCGACGTCACGGAGCTCATTCCGGTGGCGGAATTTAACGGTGTCAAGAGCTTCTGCAACCTCTACAAGGTGCTCGCGACGCCCGAGAACGGCGTCGAGAAGAGCTCCGAGGTCTTTGGCGCCATGGTCGAAAAATGGTTCCTCTTCTGTCTCGTCTGGTCCGTCCTCGGCGCCGCCAACGACGACGGCCGCGCCCGCTTTGACGCGTGCCTCCGTGAGATCGACACGGTGTTTCCACCGGTGAAGACCATCTACGAGTTCTACGTCGACCCGAAGGCGCACGACCTCAAGCTCTGGGACGAGAAGCTGCCCGCCAACTACCGCGTGCTCCCCAACACGCCATTCCACAAGATCATTGTGCCGACCATCGATACGCTTCGGTATGGATTTCTGCTGCAGACGATGGTGCTCGGCGGCCTCAATGCGCTCCTCGTCGGCGACACGGGCGTGGGCAAGACGACCATCATCGAGCGCGAGCTCGAGAATCTCTCCGACGCGACGTATGCGCGCCTCGTGATGAACTTTAGCTCGGCCACGTCGTCATCGACGACCCAGGACGTGATTGAAGCCGTCATGGAGAAGCGCAGCATGAACCGGTTCGGCCCCGTCGGCGGCAAGAAGCTGGTGACGTTCGTCGACGACCTCAACATGCCAACCAAAGACGACGTTCGTCGACGACCTCAACATGCCAACCAAAGACGACTTTGGGTCCCAGCCCCCGCTCGAACTACTGCGGCAGTGGGTCGACTACGGCTGCTGGTACGACCGGAAGAAGCAGACGCTGCGGTACTTCGTGGACATGCAGCTCGTGGCCGCCATGGGACCACCCGGCGGCGGTCGGTCCGTGATCTCGTCGCGCTTCCAGAGTCGCTTCAACCTCGTCAACATGACGTTTCCCGAGAACACGCAATTGCGCAAGATCTTCGAGACGATGCTCGTGCCCAAGCTGAGCGAGTTCGACGACGAGATCAAACCCCTCGGCGCGCCGCTCGTCACGGCCACGATCGTGCTCTACCAGACCGTCGAAGCGAACTTTCTGCCGACGCCTGCCAACTGCCACTACCTCTTCAACCTCCGCGACATGGCCAAGGTCGTCCAGGGCCTTTTGACCGCCGAGAAGCTGCTCATTTCGGGTCGCGACGGCATGCTCCGGCTCTGGATCCACGAGGCCCTTCGCGTCTTTAGTGACCGGTTGACGTCCGCCACGGACCGCGCGCTCTTCAAGGTACAATCGTCTCGAGTTCGCGTCTCTATAACCTTGTCTAGACCAAACTGGACGAGATCCTCGCGGCGACGTTCCAGACCGAGTGGAACCGGCTTCTCAACACGCACGTTGAAGTGCTCAAGGAGAGCGGGCCGCTCTTCAGCGGTATTTTGACACCGTCCGAAGACGACGCGCCCGTCAAGTACGACGAAGTCGACGACATCAAAGGCCTCAAGCATTTCGTGGAAGATCAGCTCGACAACTACAACGTCGAGCCGGGTCTCGTGCCAATGGACCTCGTGCTCTTTGGTGACGCGCTCATGCATCTGCTGCGCATTTACCGGCAGCTGACGACGCCGCGCGGCAACCTCCTGCTCGTCGGCGTCGGTGGCAGCGGTCGGCAGAGTCTGACGCGCCTCGCAGCGTTCATTGCGAGCTGCGACCTCTTCCAGATCGAAGTGACCAAGAACTACCGCCCGATGGACTTTCACGAAGACATGAAGAAGCTGTACCACAACACGGGCGTCCTGAACAAGAAGACGACGTTCCTCTTCAGCGACACGCAGATCAAAAGCGAGTCGTTCGTCGAGGACATCAACAACATTCTGAGTTCCGGCGAGGTATCCCGTGTTCAAATCTGGTTGATAGCGCTGAGTTGTACACTAGATTCCAGGCCTCTTTGAGAAGGACGAGCAGAGTACCATCATCGACAGCGTCCGGCTCCGAGCGCGCGCGCAAGGCGTCAAGGAGACGAAGGAAGGCCTCTGGGGCTTCTTCATCGGCGAAGTGCGGCGCAACTTGCACGTTGTCTTGGCGCTGAGTCCGATCGGGAAAGGCTTCCGCAACCGCGTGCGGCAGTTCCCGTCGCTTGTCAACAACACGACGATCGACTGGTTCGACGAGTGGCCCATCGACGCGCTCCAAGAGGTCGGTATGAAGTTTCTGGACGAGAAGCGCATTGCGGCCGAGGCCCAGCGGCCCAAGATCGCCGCCGTCTTCGCCGTTGTCCACAGCTCGGTCGTGCTTGCGTCGGCGCAGATGCTCGCGTCCATGAAGCGCCACAACTACGTCACGCCGACCAACTACCTCGCACTCGTCAAGGGCTACGTCGTATGTCCTTCGACCCTTTGTACTTGAGTTGGCGAAGTAGGAATTCTGTAGGAATGTCTGCTTGAGAAGAGCTCGGCGATCGTCGACTCGCGCGACAAGCTCAAGAACGGCCTGGCCAAACTCGAAGAGAGCCGGACGCAGGTCGAAGAAATGTCCAAGCAGCTCGAAGAGCGCAAGGTTGTCGTCGCGCAGAAGAACAAGGACTGCAGCGACCTCCTCGTCATCATCGTCTCGGAACGGCGCGTCGCCGACGAGCAGCGCAAGCAGGTCGAGGCCGAGTCCGAGCGCATCTACAAGGAGGAGGTCGAGACTAAGAAGATCGCCGACGACGCCCAGAAAGACCTCGACGAAGCGCTGCCGGCGCTCGCCAAGGCCATGGCCGAGGTCGACCTCCTCGACAAGAAGGCGATCGCCGAAGTCAAGGTCTACTCCCAGCCGCCGGAAGCCGTCTCGCTCGTCATGTGCGCGGTCATGGTGCTCTTTGGGCTCACGCCGACGTGGGCCGTCGCCAAAGTGAAAATGAACGACGTCAACTTTCTCCAGCAAATCAAAACCTTCGACAAGGACTCGATCCGCGACAAGACGATCGCGGCGCTCAAAAGTACACGTCCAAGGACATGTTCAAGGCCGACATTGTGCGCAAGGTCTCGGGCGCCGCCGGTGCGCTCTGCTCGTGGGTGCTCGCGATGGAAGTCTACTCGACCGTCTTTCGGCTCGTCGCGCCCAAGCGCGAAGTGCTCAAAAAGTCGCAGCAAGCGCTCGAGTCCAAGCAAAAGGACCTCCAGCGGGCCAAAGGCAAGCTCCAAGAGGTCACCGAGAAGGTCGAGTCGCTCAAAAAGCAGTACGACGACAGCGTCAGCGAGAAGAACGCGCTGCGGGAGGAGGCCGAAGTGCTCGAACTCAAGCTCTCGCGCGCGACGCAGCTCGTTTCGGGTCTCTCGGGCGAGCGCGAGCGCTGGCAAGTGAGCATTGCGACCAAAGAAGGCTCGCTCCTCAACGTCGTCGGCGATGCACTCGTCGCCGCGGCCTTCCTCTCGTACGCAGGTCCGTTCGACACTGCATTTCGCGCGTCGCTCGTGGATACGTGGTCCAACCGGGTCGTGCAGCAAGGGCTGCCGCTCTCGCCGTCGTTTCAGTTCACCGACTTCCTCGCCGACCCGACCGACGTCCGCCACTGGAACGCGCACGGGCTTCCCCGCGACAACCTGTCGACCGAGAACGGCGTCGTGACGACGCGCGGGAAGCGCTGGCCGCTCATGATCGACCCGCAAGGCCAAGGCAACAAGTGGATCAAGTCGCTCGAGGGCGCCAAACTCGACGTGGTCGACCCGATGATGAAGGACTTTCTCCGCAAGCTCGAGAACGCGATTCGGTTTGGCACGGCCGTGCTCATGCAGGACGTCCAGGAAGAGCTCGACCCGAGTCTCGAGCCGGTTTTGACCAAGAGCATCGTCAAGGTCGGCAACCGCGACATCCTCCGCATCGGCGACAAGGAGCTCGACTACAACCACGACTTTCGGTTTTACCTCACGACGAAGCTGCACAACCCCCACTATACCCCTGAAGTCTCGACCAAGACGACGATCGTGAATTTCGTCGTCAAGGAGCAAGGCCTCGAGGCCCAGCTCCTCGGCACGGTGGTGCAGATGGAAGAGCCCGCGCTCGAAGAGCAGAAATCCGAACTCGTCATCAAGGTCGCGGCCGCCAAGCGCAAGCTTGTCGACTTGGAGAATGAGATTTTGCGCCTCCTCTCGGCCGCAAAGGGCTCGCTCCTTGACGACGAGTCGCTCGTCAACACGCTCAATGCGTCCAAGACGACGTCGGAAGAAGTGAGCTCGCAGCTCGTCGTGAGCGAAGAGACCGAGCGCAAGATCGACGCGGCGCGCATGGGCTACGTCGCCGTCGCTGTCCGCTCGTCGACGCTCTACTTTGTGCTCAACGACATGACCAAGGTGGACCCGATGTACCAGTTCTCGCTCGACTCGTACGTTGACTTGTTCAAAGAGTCGATCGCGAAGAGCCGGTCGGCGCGCCAGACGCTCACGCTGACCGACGACCTCAGCGAGCGCATCAGTGCCATCAACGAGTACCACACGTACGCCGTTTACGCCTACGCCTGCCGCGGTCTCTTTGAGCGGCATAAACTGCTCTTCTCGTTCCAAATGTGCATTCGTGTGCTCCAGAGCCTCAAGAAGGTGCCGCAAGACGAGTACGAGTTCCTCCTCAAAGGCGGGAGCGTGCTCGGCCACGACGAGCGCGTCGCCAACCCGGTCGCGGATTTCTGTCCCGAGAGCACGTGGAATGCCGTCGTGGACCTCAACCGCCTGCCCCGTTTCCAAGGCCTCGTGTCCTCCTTTGAGCAAACGGGCAAGGGGTGGAAGCAGTGGTTCCAGAGCAGCGCGCCCGAGATCGAGCAGCTGCCGGGCGACTGGGAAGGCAAGTGCAACGAGCTCCAGCGCATGCTGCTTCTCCGCGTGCTCCGGTCGGACCGCGTGACGATCCAAGCCTCGAAGTTCGTGGCCACGAACCTCGGCGCGCAGTTTGTGGACCCGCCGCCCTTCGACCTCCGCGCCATATACGACAACTCGACATACAAGACGCCGCTCATTTTTGTGCTTTCGCCCGGCGTCGACCCGACCAACAACCTCATGGCGCTGGCCGAGTCGCTCAATAAGAAGGTCGAGAACTGCGCCCTCGGGCAGGGCCAGAGCGGCTTTGCCGAGGCGATGCTCGCGCGCGGGCTCGAGGGCGGCCACTGGGTCTTCTTGGCCAACTGCCATCTCATGCTGAGCTGGGCGCCGACGCTCGAGAAGCTCATCGACAACTACTGCGCCAACCCGAGTGTGAACCCCAACTTCCGGCTCTGGCTCACGAGCGACCCGAATCCCAAGTTTCCCATCGCGATCCTCCAGCGCGGGATCAAGATGACGACCGAGCCGCCGCGGGGCATCCGTGCCAACTTGCTAAGGCTCTACAACACGATGACCCCGGAGCGGTTCGGGCGCTGCAAGCAGACGAAGAAGTACAAGCGGCTCCTCTTCTGTCTCTGCTGGTTCCACGCGCTCCTCCTCGAGCGGCGCAAGTTCAACAACCTCGGCTGGAACATCCCGTATGACTTCAACGAGAGCGACTTTGCTATTAGCGAAGACGTGCTCGCGATCTATTTAGATGAGTACGACGAGACGCCATGGGAGGCGCTCAAGTACCTCATCGCGCAGGCCAACTATGGCGGGCGCGTCACCGACGACTGGGACCGCCGCTTGATGCTCGTCTATGTGGGTCAGTTTTTCTGCGAGGACATTTTGGAGCTCGAGATGGCGCCGCTCTCCGAGTCGCCCGAGTACTACGTGCCGGACGACGGCGACCTCGCAACGTACGGCGACTACATCCGCAACCTCCCGCTCGAGGACCCGCCCCTCGCCTTTGGCCAGCACCCGAACGCGCAGATTGCATCCCAGATCGACAATGGCCGGGAGCTCCTTAGTACGATCCTGAGCTTGCAGGCCATGGGCGGCGGCGACGGCGGCAAAGGCACCGACGAAAAGATCCTCAGCGTCCTCCAGAACCTCAAGGAGAAGGTGCCCGACCCGTTCGACCTCGCGACGGTCAAGCTCAACCTCTCGGCGCGCAGCGACCCGGACGCGCTCAAGACCGTGCTCGTGCAGGAGCTCGAGCGCTACAACAAGCTTCTGAGCACGATCAAGTCGTCGCTAATTGCGCTGGAGAAGGGACTCCAAGGCCTCGTCGTCATCACGCCCGAACTCGAAGGCGTCTCGCAGGCGCTCTTGTTGGGCGCGGTCCCCAAGGCCTGGAGCTTCTGCTACCCGTCACTCAAGCCGCTTGGCGCGTGGACGACCGAGCTCGAGCAGCGCGTGGCCCAGATGCGGCATTGGGCCAACACGGCGATGCCCGTCGTCTTTTGGCTCGCGGGCTTTACGTACCCGACGGGCTTTCTCACGGCGCTGCTGCAGACCGCGGCGCGCAAGAACGGGGTCTCGATCGACTCGCTCAACTGGGAGTTCCTCATCGTCAACCAGCACGAAGACTCGATCGCATCGAGTCCCAAGGACGGCGCGTACGTCAAAGGGCTCTTCCTCGAGGGCGCGCGCTGGGACTTTGAGCACGACTGCTTGACCGAGCCGAACCCGATGGAGCTCTACTGCGTCATGCCCATGATCCATTTTCGACCGGTCGAAAACAAAAAGAAGGCGGCCAAGGGCACGTACAGCTGCCCGCTCTACATGTACCCGATCCGCACCGGTACGCGCGAGCGGCCGTCCTTCATGATCGCCGTCGACCTCAAGTGCGGCGCCCAGCGGTCGCCCGACGTGTGGACCAAGCGAGGCACGGCGCTCCTCCTCTCGCTGAGTACGTAGCGTTAACGTTTAGAGTAATCCACCCTTTGTACAAATCCACTTGCGAGGCAAAGGACTGTGTTGTTGAAGGAGGGGCTTAAGCCGTGCGGACGATGATGTGCACGCCGCTGTCGGTATCGACGATACCGCTGATCTCGCCGACTTGAAGGCCAAAGCTAAGCAGAGTAGATGAGACCTCTGGCGCCCAAGGTGCTCGTACGCAGCATCCTCGAACGGCTTTTGCATCATGCCACGGCCAAACGGGCCGAGATCGCCGCCACGCGTACCGCTGCTGCAGTCGCTGAACTGGATCGCAAGGTCTTCGAAGCGAGCCGCGCCCGACGTGATCTTGTTGCGCAGGTCTACGAGGGACCTTGCTAGGCGAGGGCCATGCGGCTGCGCTCGTACCAGTGAGGATCGCAATGGCCTCTTCCTTGGAGCGCGTGATGTTGGGCGAGAGGCGCGAGGCTACCGCCCATCATGAGCCTCCACATACAGCGTCTACCTCGCCCCGTAGGGCTCCATGCTACCGACGTACCCGGGCGACGCGAGCCGCTGTGCTTGATGAGGAGGTGCGAGGCGCGGACTTGGGACATGGTCGATGAATGCGAACTGACGTGCTGTGCAAAATAATACGCTTGCCTCATACAAACATTGGGTCATAAAACAAGGGACGATTTTGACTCCTGATTCGCCAACGACTCTTGCTTTATAGCCAATCGAAGTATGTACCATGCATGTACAGCCTTGGATTCGCCAATAAGCTACATATTTCCAGCCAATGGCCTTCCTGCATCCATTCCAGAGATCCCATGCTTCGCTGCCTCCGGCTTCCGCGGGCGGTCGGCGCCGCCACCCGACGCCTGCGCTTCTCGACCAAGGACGATGCACCCAAGCCCATACCCACGACCGACGACGAGTGGAAGGCGAAGCTGACGCCGTGGGAATACCGCGTCTTGCGGCAGAAGGGCACGGAGCCACCGGGCAGCGGGCCCTTGAACAAGCACTTTGAGAAAGGAACGTACGTGTGCGCCGGCTGCCACACGCCCTTGTACTCGTCGGCGCACAAGTTTGACTCGGGCTGCGGGTGGCCTGCGTTCTACGATGCGCTGCCCAGTGCCATCTCGTGGGTGCCCGACAGCGACGGCCAGCGAACCGAGATCGTCTGCGCTGTGTGCCACGGCCACATGGGTCATGTCTTTGAGAACGAAGGCTTCCCTACGCCGACGAACCACCGCCACTGCGTCAATAGCATCTCGATCAAGTTCAAGGCGGACGAGACGTGAAGCTACTAAGGTTCACGAGCGCACTAAGACTTAACGAGTGCTTGCATCACGTTCTGCCGCGTTGGCTTTGCGCTGGACTCTAAATTTAGATCCATGAGCCTCGACGAGGACGGCTGCGGCATCCTGCGGTACGAGGCTCGCACTCTACCTTGTTGACGCTGCTGCAGATATGGATCCGGCTCGGTCCTCGCCGTCATTAGCCGCGTGGACGGTGCCAAGTACGGGCAGTTTTACGACGGTGCGTTGAATCATGTCCTGTACCCACCACTCCAAATTCGGTCGACAGACACGCGGCTGGACGGACAGCCGACGCAGCTCCTCGTCGGCTTCAGCTTTGGCGGCAACGGCTTTGCCAACTACCGCTCAGGCCAGCAGCGCTTCGTAGCCACCGACGCGGACGTGCTTGTTGCTGGTGAGGACGGCGAAATCTTACAGGTACCAACGCACTTGCTTCCTGCTAAGCGATTCACGTTGCAGTACTATCGCTGGGATCCGACCTCGGTGACGACGCTGCTACCACGCCCCATCGATCTGCAGCTCAACTCGGTCTTGGCGCTCCAGTGCTCGAGCCAAGCAGCGATACAGCTCACCGTCAAGCACCACAGCGTTCTTGTACGCATGCGTCGCATCGTATTTCCGTTGAAAAGAATTTGGTTGCAGGTTTTCGAGCTCGGACGACCCGTGCGGGAATCGTACCTCAACAAGGTGCATCGTGTTGGCTTTGCGTCATCGCTGCAATTCGCCCTGCGCAGATCCAGCGCCGGCGGGTCGACGGGTCCCTCGAGCTGGCCATCCCGCGGCCGTCGCTCGTCGATCGCCAAGATCGCCAGGTGCCACCTTGAGGAGGCAATGTCTCTCGTATCACCCGCCGCGCGTAGAACGAGATGCCGATTAAGAAAGCGCAGCGCTACAACTGGCATCTGCCGCGCGTCTCGGCGAGCGGCCGCGAAGTCGACAAGGTGCGCGTCGGGTCGCACCTCCAGCCGCTCGTCGAGACCAACAAGTCGCTGGTGCTGCGGCTGAGAGCGTACGAGCCGCGATGCATGCGAATCTACTTGGACACTGCACCGTAGCTACACGACAGCGATCGGGCACAACGTAAACGACCAAGTCGAGGCCCAGCGCAGCATTCCTTGCCACAGCTTCTTCTCGCCGATCAAGCGCCAGCAGAGCTACATCCCGTCGGCCAAGGTTCGTCGTTGCCTGGCGCCAGTAGCATACTAGGATCGGTGGGTAGATCGCCAAACCCAAGGCCATCATCAAGACCCTTCCGCGTCTCCACCCGCGGTTCTTAGACCACATGGTCGCGCACATGAAGAGCAACCAGGTACATACAACGCCTTGACACCACCGACACAGTTGAATAGCTCCTCGTTGTCGTCTGCTCGAATCTCTCGACGTCCGACTGCGTCCAGGCCGAGCGCATGCTGGCGACGATCGAGGTCGAGTGGGCGACCGACGACACCGTGTACGACGATCGCATCGGCCGAATCGGTGCACCAAGAAGCAACGCGTCGTGTAGGCGGCCCGTCGACGACGACACGCCGCCGCTTCCCAACCATGGGGCGTACGAAGACCCGGCGCCCGACCGCGCGCTCAGCGCCAAGCGGATCGTGCTCGCCGACTGCTCGACCTCGACGCTTCTGAGCTCGTGCGGCACTCTACTATATGCTGGCAAATTGCTGATGCGATGTGAAGCAGGCGCCACAACTTTCGCGTCTACCCCATGTTCCTCATGTACTATGGCGGCCAGCTCGGATTCTGCGCCAACACGTTCAACGGCTTTGGCAGATCCGCCAACGACTTTGCCGCGCAGGTACATGTCTATATGGAGCAGCGTGGGAAGCGTTGTCGTTAGGTCAAGACGACGCTTCGCAGCTGTCAGCGCAACCAGTTCCTCGCCGCCAACTTTCGGTTTCCGTCCATGGACGACCCGATCGTGTCATAGTATACTTGTATCCAAGATTTATCCTCTTATCTTATGCGCTTATTTCGCAGTGTACGACGAGAGCACGGACGAGAGAATGGCTTGGACGTCCGCGGTCGAGCTGTTCGTTCCGGCCTTGGTGGACTTTTTGGACTTGCCGAGCTCGCCGAGGACGGCGTCGTTGAGCTGCGTCTTTTGCTCGGCGATGTTGTAGATGGCTTGGTCGACCGTGTCGCTCGCGACGAGCTTGTAGATCGTGACGGGCTTGGTCTGCCCGATGCGGTGGCAGCGGTCGCAGGCTTGCGCGTCGATCGTCGGGTTGAAGTCCAAGTCGTGCAGAATCACCGTGTCTGCCGCCGTGAGGTTGATGCCGAGACCGCCCGCTCGCGTCGAGAGTAGAAAGACAAAGATCGACGTGTCTTCGTTGAACTGATCGATGAGCGCTTGGCGATCCGAGACGGTCGTCGAGCCGTCGAGGCGGATAAACTTGTAGCCCAAGTGCTCCATGAGCACCTCCATAAGGTCGAGGAGCTTGGTCCACTGCGAAAAGATCAGCACGCGGTGCCCATCCGTCTGCAGAGTCGGCAAGAGCGACCTCAAAAGTCGAATTTGACCGACTTGAGGATCACGTCCATCGGCAGCTGAAGCGCTCGAAGCTCCGAACTGATGTCGCCGTACTGCACGCACAGCTCGTGCAGGTCAAAGTCCGAGTACGACTCGATCTCCTTGTCGACCATGGCGCGCGTACACTGGTCCCCAAAGGCGCCAAGCTTGTAGAGGTGTCGGCCGAGCGTCTCCATCTTGACGTCGCAGCGGAAGTGGTGCCGCAGCATGATCGAGTGGTTCGCAGCCTTTCGCAGCTGCGTAAAGATCGCCGTGTCCGACTGCCCCGCGAAAATGTTGCTGTCGAGGTTGAGGAGGTCGCGCATCTCACGGGTGACGCCCGTCGGTGCCTTCGTCGTCTTGCTGGCTGCCTTCTTGTCCTTGGCAGCTTGCTTCGTTGCAACGGCCGCCGCCACGAGCGCGTCGTAGATCGCCCGCTGGTCGTCCGGCAGCGTGAGCATGCTCGTCTTCTCGTCCTTTGGTCCCATCTGCGTGAGCACGTACTTCTTCATACGGCGGAGAATGAAGGGCGCGAGAATGCGGCGGATCTTGGCGCACGTCGTGCTCTGCTGGTCGGCCGCAAAGAAGTCCGTGATCTGCTCCGACCCGTGGTTGAAGATCTTGGGCATGAGGAAGCTCAGGAGCGAGAGCAGCTCGCTCAGGTTGTTCTGGATCGGCGTCCCCGACAGCACGAGGCGGTGGCGCGCCCGGACAGCCGCAATGCGTTTGAAGCGCGACGTGTTGGCGTTCTTGATCGAGTGGCCTTCGTCCAGCACGACGTACCCGAACGAGAACTTGCGGAAGAAGGCGCGGTCGTCTGCGCACGCGTCGCGCTCAAAGTACGAGTAGGTTGTGAGGAGCACGTCAAACTCGGCTCGTGCGTCTTGCATCGCCATACGGTCGTCCTTGTCGCCATAGTACGTGAGGACGCGGAGCGTGGGCGCAAACTTTTCAAACTCGCGGACCCAGTTGCTCAAGGTCGACGCGGGCACGATCACAAAGTGGGGCGCTTGGGTTTTGCTGCAGAGGAGCGCGAGGAACGCGATCGTCTGGACCGTCTTCCCGAGACCCATCTCGTCCGCCAAGACGGCCGACATCTTGTGCGTGTGCAAAAGGTACATCCAGTTGACACCGACGATCTGGTACGGCTTGAGAACGAGCGACGGGCTGAGCCCCGGGATGTCCGACGTCTGGACAAACTGCTTGTTGTCGTCGACGGCCACGAGCGCGGTCTCTTGGTCGTTGGCAGCGTCGGGCGATGACGACCACTGCGACACGGACGCCCGCAGCGTCTCTGCAAGCTCTTCGCATGTCTTCAAGATGGCGCCGACCTCGTCCTTCTGCGATTGCTTCGTCGATGGTCGCCGACCGTGGTCGGATTCGTCGAGACCATCCGATTCGCCAGACGCGCTGTCCTCGTTCTCGTCTTCTTCTTCTTCTTCCGACGACGCGACTCGTTTCCGCGCTTGCCGCGTCTTGGCCACGGGCTTCTTGAACGACTCGAGCTTCTTCGCCGTCCACTGGTCCGTCGCATCCTTCCGTTTCCGCGGCGCCGTGATCCACCCATTGCTGTCGCCGCTCGTCTCACCAGGCGTAAAGGTCGACCGCCCGTACTTGGCCATCCACGATGTCGCTGGTACCGTTGGCTTGGCTTTGGTCTCGATCACGTACACATCATCGTCGTCGTCGTCGTCAATCGACTCGACACCATCGTCGTCTTGGGTTGCTTTTGGCGACGACTCCTCGGTTGTACTGTCTTCGGGCGCCGGCTCCTCGTCGTCCGTGTCGACGACCACCATGTTGCGGCGCGGAGCCTTCTTCGGCGCGATGTAGTCGTCATTCTCGCTGCTTTCGGCGTCCTCGAGCACAGTGCGTCGGACTTTGGCCGGCGGCTCGGACTTGGCCGGCGCCGACCGCTTCTTCGTGAGGTCCACCGTGGTGCAAGCTTCGAGCGACGACGGCGTGTCGACCACGACGTACTTCTGAAGCGATCCGTTGGCGTTGAACGCGTCTTTGACACCAAGGATCGCTGCGTCGCCCGTCTTGAGCATGAGCTGGCGGTCATTCACCTTGTTGATGATGAGCGACGCCTTGCCGCGGCAGCGCAAGCGGATCGAGCCGTCCTTGAGGAGGCGAACGGTACCACCGCCTCCACATACAGGGATCTACCTCGCAGCGTGAGCATCCATCTTCGTCTCGCGCCGTCGCCGTACCTCCTTGGCGGTCAAGGCCACGACCTTGCCGCCCATAACCTCCTTGATCGCGGCCATTTGGGCTGTGGTGGATTCCCGCCAACCCTACCTTATTAATACCAGCGAATTATTTTAGTGAAACCGAGCATGCAACATTTGTTATTTGTATGCAGCATTGAATTTGATTCTATTGCGTAGTTCGAAGTTAGACCCAAAGTTCGAAGATCCGAGGGCGTTGGCGTCGGCGTTGGCCGCCATCGCCGCCGTATCTTGCGTAGATCCATGCTTGTTCCGACGCCGGTTCTAGCACCCCTGGGCTACATACCTCCGCAAGATACCCCCTAATTAACCCCCATTGATGGAGGGCATGTTGCTCCCGCATTGACAAAAGAACAGAGCGCCTTGGGCCGCGCCATCGAGTGGCAGTCCGCGGACGCGCCGCAAGCCGTTAACGATGGGCAAGCAAGCCACTGCAAGAGAGCATCGTAATACGATCTTCGCGCCAGGTTTCCGATAACACTATATTCCGAAAAGAGAATAGTGTGTAATTAGGCTTGGATCTCGGCGACGGCTGCAACGATGTTCAAGCACTGTACGTGGTCGCTGTCGTCGTGGAGCTCTCATGGCACGTAGCCCACTTCATGGGCCACTCGAGCAACGTCAACTGCTTCCGCTTCGGGCGCAAGTCCGTACGTGGCAGCCTCTGCGCGCGAGACGGCTCACGGCCGCGTCCTAGGGCCAAGTGGCGGTCAGTGGCGGCGACGACACCAACGTCAACGTCTGGCGCATCCGCGAGAGCGAGACCAAGAACATCATGGTACTATCCCGGAAAGGCGAAGCGTAGCTCATGACGCTCTCGTGGGCAGAGCCTCGCCGGCCATTCGAGCCCTGTCGAGTGCGTGACCTTTGATCCGGCCGAGAAGCGCGTCGTCGCCGGGTCGACGTCGGGCGCCATCAAGGCCTACGACATGGAGTCGGCCAAGGTGTTTCGGTCGCTCAAGGGCCACATGTCGTCGTGCACGAGCATCGACTACCATCTTTACGGCGATTACGTCGCGTCCGGCGCGCTCGACACCAACGTCAAGGTCGCCCGAACCTCTTGCAGTCGATTTGCCGTATCTTGGATTGCGTAGATCTGGGATCTCAAGACGAAGAACTGTGTACAGACGTTCAAGGGCCATGCGAGCGACATCACATGTGTGAGCTTCACGCCCGACGGCCGCTGGCTCACGTCTGGCAGTGCCGACGGGACCCTCAAGATCTGGGACCTCACAGCTGGGAAGCTTCTGCGCGAGTTCACTGACCACGGTGGCGCCATCACGTGCCTTGAGTTCAACCCGGAGGAGTACATTCTCGTGTCGGCGTCGCAGGACAGGACCATGCGGTTCTGGGACCTCCAGTCCTTCGAGCTTCTCGGGGTCACGCCGACCGACACGACGCCGGTGGCGGCGATCGCGCACACGATCAGCGAGCCATACAGCGGCAAGTACGCGCTCTGTGTGTCCCAGGATATGGTCAAGGTCTGGTCGTACGACTCATCAGTCTCCGTACGCCGTCCCTCCTCCTCCGCAGCATGGCCTCACGCGTGCCTAGTGCCACGACACGCTGCTCTGGAACAACGCTCGCCAAGGGGTGACCGAGACCCTTGGGGACACACTCGTGACCGACAACCTCCAGCTCTTTGGCGGCTCGTTCGCGAACGCCTTCATCTCTGTCTGGCGCGTCGATCTGACGACGCTCCAGCCATTTGCTCCACCTAAAAAGACGCCGCGTCCGATCACGCCTGCCGCCGTATCTCGCCCCATTACACCCAAAGTCCTCCAGCCGCCACGATCCGCGCCGTCGCAACAACCAGCTTTGCAGCAACCCCCGGCAACACCTCCGCAGCCGGCTCAACCCCCCCGTAGTGTCGTGCATCAGCAACGCCACCCTCCGACGCCCGAGCAGTCACCCCCGGCGTCGCCGCCGCCGAGAGAAAGTACGCCATGTGACTATCTGCAGGGCTCATGTCGTGGTGCAGGCGCCTCGACCGAGATGGGCATGGACACGATCAAGCGATTCGCTGCCGCCGAGCCGCCCGTTTGTACCTTCTGTGTGTTTCTACCATCTCACTTGCGTGGCTGCGTAGGAAGCCTTTAGCTCCGACTACGTCAACGAGCTCAAGGTCGGGATGGAGCTCTCAATTCGAACGTTCAAGAGCCGGCAAAAGGCCCTCGAGCAGTTTATGAGCTACTACTGGGACAAGGGCGACATCCACGGTACCTTCTGACGCACGTTCCGCCTTGCTCATGCGGCGACAGGTGGCTTTCGCTTCATCAGCCAGCTCCCGACGGGGACACGCGAGGCCTTGGCGGTTGACATTCTCGGCAACGTCGAGCTCGCGACCATCGGACTCGACCTCGAGGCGTGCGTGCTGCTGCTTCCGCTTGCAATCGAGCTCGTGGGATCGTTCCCTCCGTACGCTACGGTCGGTGTCGCCGTCGCCAAGGTTCTCGTCTCAGCCTTTGGGCCTCTCGTCAAGGACAACAAGGAAGCGCGCCGGAGCAACCGAGAAGTCAACTTTGCCGGTGAAGAACGGTGCGCTCGATCGATGCAGCTGCAGGTTACGACGTCGTCTACTGCATAGGGCCGCGCGCTGCGACGCCTGCCACGGCTTCTTCGTCGAGCTCCAGAACAAGCTGCCAAGCGTCGCGACGACGGACCCGCGGGCCCTTGCAGAGCTCAAGAGCATTTTAGGGGAGTACGGATGGGGACGGTAGAGCTGCTCGTTTCAATTTAGACTTTCATAATCGAGCGCTGCTCGAGGTGCAAGATGTAGTCGGCAAGGTGGTGCAACTGGCCGAGCTCGATCGCGTTCTCGTCAACATGGCTCGCGAGCGCCTTGGGCATCACGCTGTCGTTCTCGATGCGCCATCCATGCTGCGCGCAGACTAGCCAGAGACGCTGTGATGAGAGGCTGTGAGTGAGAGAGTAGGATGCATACAGGCCAGCGTGGCATCGCGAGAGAGGCCGAGGGCTTGTGCGGTGCTGTCGATGGAAAGCACAGAGTACGCCTGCGCAATCAAGACCGCCGTCGAGTGCTGGATCGATTGCTTGAGCACCGCAGTCACCGGCGCCAAAGCCGGTTCCGTCGTGCTCGCCTCCAAGGCCGCAGCAGCTGCGTGCGCCTGGACAATGTCGCGCGCCCACAGCGCTCGCCCTACGGCCCAAATCTGCTGCAGCCCGTCCGCGCCCTTGTGCGGCAGGCGCTTCCACAGGTGGCGGGCTTCGTCCAAGCGCCGAAGGGCGAGTAGGGCCCCGAGGAACTGCGCGTAGTGCAACGCGGCCATGGGCTCGACGCTGGAGCTCAGGGTCTGGAGCTCGAGCTCTTCGCAGACGTGGACAAGCTCGGGAAGGTGGCGGGGAAGGTCGGTGGCCGCGCAGATGGCGGCGATGCGCGCCTCCAGCGACGAGAGCAAGGTTTCGTCCATCTTCGTTGGGCGTCACAGATAATGCACTGTCCTCTTGTTTGTATGCCCATACAAAAACAACGTGCGGCAAAAGATTTTGAGTTTGATTTTGATTGTGGGTCGTCTACTCGGCGCAGGTCTCACGGAAGCGCTGCATCTCGCGCTCGTTGGCTTCGACCTGCGGCCGTGCTTCCAGCCGCCACTGCCATGACAACAAGATGAGACATTGGCCATGAGACCATGGGATATACCTGCTCAATGTCGTCAAAGGTGTAGAGCTTGGGCGACGGGGCGACGGCTGGCGCTGCGCTCTTGTCGAGGAACCGCGTGACTTTGGCCACGAGCTGGTCCAAGGGCCCGGTCGGCGCCTTGCGCTCGTTCTGCATGAACGCGTGCACAAACTACAATGCAAATGGTCAGGCTATGTAGCCTCGGTTGCGTCGCCACACCTCGGCAAAGGCGTCGGCGTCATGCAGCTCGGTCCCGAGCTCCCGCACGCGCTGGAAGAGCTCTGCGTGCGACGCGACGCCCATGATGTCTTGCTCGCCCAGCTGCAGGACGCAGAGCGCGGCGTCGAAGACGACCTCTTGGCCGTAGAAGAGGAGGAGGTCCCATACGCGCAGTGCCGTCTCGAGGGGCAGCGTGCAGAGGAAGACGCAGAGAAACCACTGGAGAGACACGAGTTCGATGTCGATGCCGTGCGTCTCGAGCATCGCGCTGAGCGCCGGCGCTTGGAGCTTCACGAGCCGCTTGAAGACGATCTGGTCGACTTGGGCGCCGACCATGCTCCGCCTAGCGCGACGTCAACCCGTCGCATGGCAATTCCATTGTCATACGAGTAGTTCTCCCACGGCAGAAACTTGTCCAAGAGCACGGCGAGGAGCCAGAACGCGTCTTCTTCGGGCAGGAAGAGCACGAGGATGCCCACGATAAAGTTCATGGACTGGCAGTACCCGATCTCGCGCCGGTGCATCGCGTACGCCAAAAGCACGTTGGTGAGCTCGACCTTGCCGCGCTCCGCCTACGCAATCATCTTGGCTCGGCGCAGATCTACCGTCTATAGTATACCTGGAAGAACGTGTGCTCGGGGTACGTGCGCCCAACGTCCTTCTCAATGTCGTCGACCGTCTAGACCAGCGGGATGCGCACGGCGCAATCTAGATAGGAATACGCACGCTGCCTCGGTGGTCTTCGCGATGGAGGAGGCCTACATAAATATCCCTGTGAATAAGACCCATACTAAGTTCTAGCAGCACTTTGGTAGTAGTCGAGTGGGAAGCGCGCCTTGTAGGTCGCGACATTCGCCAACAAGAGCCACATGGCGGGGCGATAGGCCGACGGAATGCCGCCAACGACGAGCGGCTAAGACACTCTCTGTAAGTGGATCATGCGATGTGTTGCGGAGGTGGTGAGACCTGGAGGAGCTCGCGGACGTGCGTACTCTCATCCTCGGAGCTCTCGTGCAGCGAGACCTGGAGGCCGTCGAAGCCTCCGTTCTCTTGGAGCAGCTCCAGCCACTGCTTTTCGTGCTTATATCGCTACACGCTCGCTCTAGGACACCATACGACGGAGACGATGCTTACCGCAGGCTTCTCGCGTTGGTGGCGCAACTGCTGTCGGTGCTTCAGAATGTACTTGTCATCCTTTGCAAAGCCATACTCGTCACTGCCGCAAGAAAGTTCATGAGCTGCGACGCTAACGAAAAGCGTGTACCGATTCACGAGCTCCTGGGCTGGATCGTGGTGGAACTGGTCGAGCGAGAGCACGCTCGGGTCAAGGAAACGCAGGACGCGCGGGTGCGCAGCGCTGCGAATCGACCGCATCACCTACCGTAGCCGTGAGCGCCGGCACGCCCATCGCTCGCTCGCGCACATCGGGAAACGAGTCGGCCGTGACATCGACGCCGTTGACAGCGACGAGCACATGGCCGGTCTGGATCGCATGCGCTTGGATCGCGTGGTTTTCGCTTTGGAGGAGGCGACTCGCCTGGCTGCCACGCACGAGGCCCTTCACGAGCGCGTGGTGGCCGTAGAAGCCCGTCTCGAACTGGATGCCAAGCGGTCCGGGCGCGAACTCGACGTCGTAGAGGGCGACGGCGTCGTCCTCGTACTGCTTGCGCTTGACCTGAGCCATGTCGCAGTGCCATGTACGTCACGCTTGCGATGCCATTGGATGAAATGCATGCATTTCATCCAATCCGCTCGCGCCAAGCTTCTATAGGATTTCCCAGTCATACAAATTCGAAGCTTGATAGAAACACAAACATTTTAAGGTAGCTTGCTGTTTGTATGGAGGAGCGTGCAATTCAATAAAAAGAAAGATCCACGCAAGGTGAGGCGGACAGTATTTGCAGTTTTGACCTCATGTCCTCGGACCGTCGATCGCGGACGCAGTCGCGGGAGCGCAGCGATGTGCCCAACACGAACGTCGGCAACAACCTCTACATCGCCAACCTCCCCATCAAGGTCACCCTCCCCCCATTTACACCCTCCGAACCCCCGTCTAGATGAACCAAGAAGAAATCAACGCGGTCTTCTCCAAGTACGGTCGGCTCTCGCGCGTCGACCTCATCTCGGACCCCGTGACGCACGAGTCGAGGTTGACCCACTATTTGCATGCGCTTCTCGAGAAGGCTCATCAGGAGCATGCTAGAGGGTTTGCCTTTGTCACGTTTGAAGACAAGCGTGACGCTGACGACGCGATCGCTGGCCTGCACGAGTACGAACGACGCTTCAGCGCAACTTTCGATTCGAGAATGGTTCAATAAGCTCTTGTATCGTACAGAACCGAGATCATGGGCCGCCGCATCCGCGTGGAAGCTGCCAAGCGTGCGCGTGGCCACCCCAAGACGCCCGGCCAATGTACGTGTTGCAGTGTTGGTGTGCGCGTCCGAATACGGTGGTATCGTAGACCTTGGCCCGCCTGGCGCGAGCTCGCGTCCGCGCTACAACGAGCCCCGCGGTCGCAGCGGTGATCGTCGCCGCAGCCGCTCGCGCTCGCCGTACCGCCGGCGTGAACGCTCGCGCTCGCGCGGCCGTGACCGTGACCGCTCGCGTGATCGCCGCCGCTCGCGCTCGCCCGTCCGGAAGGAGCGCTCTCGCTCCCGCGACCGCCGTGGCAGCTCGCGCGACCGTCGCCGCGATTAGACCTTTCGGCTCGTATGTATGTATATCGTTTCTTAATCTCCATATTAAGGAAGCGCACGACCGACCTACGCAAATGCGGTTTGGCGATATACCACCATGTGGGTCTCGGGCTCGGGCACATCGGCGTCCAAGCTGAAATGGGTGTTGAAGATGCTCGCGTCTTTTGTGTACTGCCACGCAGCGAGGCGGCTCTGGCCGATCGCACGCTCGGCCGACGCGTACATGACGAGGAACGTGGGGCGGTTGCTACCGTTGCCGTAGCGCGCTTCCGCCACGTCGAGCGGTGCATGGCGCACCAAGTCCGACTCGGAGCCCTTGACACGGTTGCTATGCATGTCATGTAGCCATGAGCAAACGAGCTTTGGGTGTTGGCAGGGTAAGAATACATGGGCGAGCAGTCGGGGAACCAGAGAGACACGTTGCGGTGGAGGTGGCTGTAGTACGGCGTGGCGTGGCACGTCATAAAGAAATCGACCGACGCTGCATCGTGTTGCTCGTGCAGCGCCGCTCGAAGATGGTCGACGACGTCCAAGGCGCCGCGCTACAAGGCGAATGAGCCATCGCGGGGCGTTAAAGGCGTAGTACATTGTGGTAGCGAGCAAAGTAGACGGCCGCCGCGCCGTTCGCGGCGACGAGCATGAGCACGAGGGCGCGGAAGAGCTTGGCTGGCGCGCGGGCTTGGAGGCGCGCAAGGCCGAGTCCTGCGTACACAAACGTGGGCGGAAGAAGCGGGAGGAGGAACCGCGGCTCTACACGCGCGATGACGTCCCACTTGTGACGTCGACGAGGACAGTACCCTTGTGGGCGCCGCAGCTGTAGACAGCGAGCGCCCATGCGATGAGCGCAGCCAGCTCGCGACGCTACTCAGTGCACCGCGTCAAACGAGTCATACAGCCAAGAACGACGTGCCTGGGAGCTCCAGACGCCAGCGAGGAGGAACGGGAGCGACGTCGCGGCGGCTTCGGGAAAGCCCGCGACGAGGTACCAGTGCCACGGGTGCGTTCCGTACAGCGCATCCTTGCCCTCGACGACGTTGAAGCGGACGAAATTCAGTGGCACGAACGTCCACGCGCCATACCCGATGCGGTCGATGAGTAGCATCGCGGCGATGGCCACCGCCCCGATCGGCGCCACGACCGTGACGAGCAGCGTGAGCTTCGCCGGCGACGCCAGCAAGAGACGCGCGCCAAGGAAGACGCAGAGCACGGCGTTCGTGGGCCGAAACACGACGCCGAGCGCCGCAGCCGAGAGGCCCGACGCCGCCCGACGCCAGTACACGTCCATCTTGGCGCGGTCCGTCTACGGCGCCGTTGCAATGCACGGTACAAAAATATGCAGGGAAATCAATACCTGGAACGACCACGGCCAGTAGGCGAGCGCAACCGTGGTGCACACGGCCTCGATCGAGTTGGAGTACGTGCGCACGAGCGTGTAGAAGGCGAACCACGACGTGAGCTGCGAGAAGAGCGCCCACTTGGCTGCGGCTTCGCCCGCATACACGAACGCGAGCTTGTAGAGGAAAACGTCGCCGACGGCCGCAATGAGGCCCTAGTCGACATTACGATGCATCGCGTACAACAAGATCTACCTGGAGGAGGCGCGGCGCGTACGCCACCGCCCATGGCGTGTCGAGGCCCTACAGCCACACGGTCAGTCGGGCGCAGCTGCAAAGCGTCGTCTCGCACGAGGAGCTGGAGGATCTTGTACAGCGCAGCAAAGAGCGCGGGATGGGCATAGCCCCGCAGGCGCGCGTCCGGCTGCCACTCCCACGTCCTAATCCGCGACGCGTGAGGCTGCGAAAGGTACACGCTGGACGCACAGGTAGCCGTAGCCGTAGACGAGGCGGTGCGCGACCTCGGAGCTCTGCCAGAACTCATCCGGGTTGAAGTACGTGCGCACGAAGAGCGCGTTGGCGAGGCGGAAGGCCACGATGGCACCGACCCAGCGCCACTGCATCGCCGTTTTTGCAATTTGATGGACGGTAATTTGATTGTAATTTACATTGATTTGACGGTAAATAAATCGTAATTTACATTGTTTTGACGAAAAGCATCCGATCTTTGCCGAACTTAGGTGGAAATGATGTGTCGGTCAGAGAGCAATGATGATGGCAGTGGTGGTGGCAGTGCAAGCACCACTTCGTGGTGGTGGTCGCCCAGGAGATCCACTGAGCAGCTTCCGCTGTGTTCTTAGCGCTCGCGTCCAATCAGTGGGAGTCGACCTGCTTGGTGAATCCCAAGTGATCCACGGAATCGCCGTTCGATTGGGGAGCGGGCATCCGGAAAGCGTATCCGGACTGCAACGATGATTACAGGACACATCTTGATGGCATTTGACTAGATGGCCGCGGAGCAGAGCTTGCTGCTGGAGGCTGGCGCCAAGGCGTCGCTGTCGCCGCGCACGCCGCGCTACTCGCACTCGCGCTGGGTCATTGGCGTGAGCTGCGTCGTGGTCGTGGCCATTATCTGGACCTTTGCCAGCGTCCTCGTGCAGTACGTCTTCCACGACCTCGGCTTCAACAAGCCCTTCTTCCTCACGTACGTCGCCAACTCGCTCTTCGCCGTGAACCTGCCGCTCTACTACGGCGGCAAGTACCTCGGCTACGTGGTCCCGTCGTCGCGCCAGGCGAGCGCCCGCGACACGCTCGTCATCAGCGCCATCGTCGCGCCGCTCTGGTTCCTCGCCAACTTTACCTACAACATTAGCCTCAACATGACGAGGTAAACGTCCGCTTCTGCATATACGGCGCATGACCTTGTTCCTCTCTGCGTAGCGTCACGAGCAGCACGATCATTAGCTCGACCTCGGCCATGTTTACGTTTGGCCTCAGCATCGCGTACCTCGGCGAGCGCTTTAGCTACGCCAAGCTTGGCGGCGTCGGTCTCTGCATGCTCGGCAACTCGGCCACCGTCTTCAACGACTCTGGGAACACGACGCGCGACAACGTGTGGGGCGACGTCCTCGCGGTCTTTGCGGCCTTCATGTACGGTGTGTATACGACCGCGATCCGGCGCCTGATTCCCGACGAAGGCAAGGTGAGCCTCGGCCTCTTCTTTGGGCTCCTCGGCCTCCTCAACTTTGTGTGCTTGCTGCCGCTCGTGCTGGTGCTGCACTGGACGCAGCTCGAGAACCTCTCGGGGCTCACGAGCGAGATCCTCGGGCTCCTCACCATCAAGGGCCTCTTCGACAACGTGCTGAGCGACTACCTCTGGGCGCTCGCGATGCTCTTCACGACGCCGACGGTCGCGACGATCGGGCTCTCGCTCACCGTGCCCTTTGCGATCGTCTCGGACTTTCTCTTCCATAGCGTCTCGCCGACGCTGGTGACGGTCTTGGCGTCCATTTTTGTGATTGCCGGCTTTGTGCTTATCAACGTCACGAGCGAAAAGGCCGAGGCCGACAAAGCATAGCCTAGTTCTTTTGCTAATATATACTATCGAAATACTACAGCTGCGACACGGCGCGCTTCATCATGGGGACGCCCCTTCGGAGCGCTGGCAAATGCACGGTCGACGGCTTGGACGGCTGGATGCGCTCGGTGCTCGGCTCTTGGTTGCTTGGCCTGCTGGGCCGAGGTGGCTTGGTCGGGTACAGCGTCGGCACGGCAATCCACGACTTCATCGGCGACGAGAGCGACGGCCGCCGGCACTGTGTGTGGTGCGGGCTTGCGCACGTCGAGCAGATCCGGTCGTAGCGCTTGATGAGCTTCACGGGCGGAAGCGCGGGCGCGGCCACTGCGTTGCGGGTCACGGCAGGCAGCGTGTGCGGCTTCTTGGTGCGCGGCCGCATGGGCACGAGACCCGATGAGAGTTTTCTTCGCGCGGCCTCGGCCCGCCGGAGCGCCAGCACGCGGCGGCAAAATCGCCGCACGACCTGGAGCGCTCGCTCGCGTTGCAGCTGGCGCCGGTGGAGCAGATGCCGCACGCCGCACTGCAGGGTTTTGGCCGCCCGTTCTCGTCGCGCTGCCACCTGCGCCCGGCGCAGCTTCACTCGGCGCGTGATCTGCAGCAAAAGACAAGCAAGGCGCGCGGCGCGGCGCTGCTGCCAGCGCCGGACGAGGCACTGAAGCACGGCCGCGGCTGCGCTGCGCCGCTGGCGACGCTGGACGTGCGATCGGTACGTGGCCTGCAAGACGCGGGCACTGCGCACTTCCAACGCGAATCGCCGACGCACGCGCGCGTAGCCACACAACCTCCGAGTTTGCTGCAAAGTGCGCAGCCAATTGCAGAGACAATCGATTGTTCGCACGCTGCGTCGTTGGAGAAGCTTGCGATGGAGCCAGCGCTGCAGCAGACGTGCACTCGCAGCCCGTCGTCGCAACCGGCAGCGGTATCGACGGCGTAGGATGCAGGACAGTAGCCACGTGCCCATGACCGACTTGGCGCGAGACAGCTGACGCTGCTGCCAAAAGCGCAGACAGAGGCGCGCAATTTGCTGCTGTGCGCGGGTGCGTCGTGCTTGTTGGAGGCGCCACCGCACGCGTGCTTGGATCCTCGATGCTGCCGCCCGTTGCTGCTCCTGTCGGTGAGAATGGAGCGCTTGGCGTTTCCTGTACTCGTGCACCATCGTCGGCAGCTGCCGCGCAAGGATGCGCGCGGCCCTTGTGCGCCGCAGCGTTTCTGCCGTCGCGGCCCAGCTCGCGTCGTCACGCCACCTGCGCAGCGCCATTCGAAAGCGCTGGCGCTGCACGCGCCGCAGCAGAAACCGGCCGATGACGTCGAGCGCGTAGTTGTCGATGGCACGGCGCGCGACGGCATTTGCGGCCTCGAGCGCTGCCTTCCGACGGGCGCGCGCGCTGTTTAGAAACGACACGCGGTGGCGCCGATACGCAGCTTGGAGCACGGACGCGCTGGCGGAGGCACGGGCGAGGGTCGCTGCGTGGTTGATTTTCTGGAGCTTGACCTTGCTCTGGCGAAAGATCGTGTGCTGGAGCCACTCCTTGTGGCTCGCGAGTGATGTCTGGAACTCGCTCTCCAGCGCCGCCTGGATCTGATCGAGAGGAAAGTACGTTTGCGCGTCCAAGAGGGCCGAGATGCGGGCTTCGAGCGCGGCTTGCAGCTCATCGGGCAGCGATTTGGCCGGCGTACTCGCGGGCGCCTGGCGCGTGAGACCTACGGGCCCTTAATGCCGCGATAGCGCGGACGACGTACGCATATATTCGTCCTCCGAAACGAGCCCGAGTTGCCGCAGGGTGAGTATTTCTACGCGTAGCGTCAGTGGAACTCCCCTGCGATCTCGCGTACCGTCGAGGACAAATGGCAGCCCATACTCGCCCTTGCGCTTCCTAACGCGACCTTGGAATAAGACCTCATCGCAGCCTGCGTCGCACCAGAGCTCGCGCAGCGCCAGGTTGTGCTCGACCACGTCCATCGCGCTAATTTTAGCCCGTGTGTAGCAGTGTATCGTACTAGAGTATGTAGCAAGCGTTCAACCAAGACCATATACATACGACCGGTCAATTTGACGATGTGGTATTCGGGGTGGCGGTGCCAGCGAACTTGGATAGCTTGACGACACCAGCCACCACATCGGCTATGCCACGTCATTTGGGCCGCCAACAACAATTGGGCCCGTGGCGACGACTCGGACGAGAGCAAAGCCGAGCCGGCGGGCGCCTCCAATGACGTCTTGTCCAAGATCCAGCACTATTGCGACGTATACCATGACACGCTCAGCCCAAGGGTCGTGTGGTCGCAGATCTGCGTCGACAGCGTCGACCGTCTCCTCTTGCGGCGGCTGCCAGACTGCCAAGCTCGACAATCCGCCGCGCTGGCTGGCGACAATGGTGGTATTCCCCCGACAAGCTTCTCATCCGCAACGCTGCGGCGTCGTCCAACTTTCTGCGAAACCGTGCGCTTGGGCCGAGACGCGCGGACGGCACACGGCCCAATACATATTGGACGGATCGGTGGGTCCTTTCGACCAAAAGTGCGGCGCACGTCGATGTCGCGCGTGTCATTGGGCAGGTTTTTTGTCGCTGCCTGCCTCCACGTGCGAGGTTTTGCCTCGCTTGAGGTTACTCCACTCCGCTACATCGTTGTCGGCTATGGCACTCATATTGCCAGGCCTGCGTTTCGCCATCCGAAACGACGCATCTGAAACGACCTGGCGCCATCAAGGACGAACACGATCTGCGACGACCTTTGGATCCGGATACGTGTGGTGTGGGACTTGGCGGAATTTGCGTCCAGCGATGGCCAAGCGAGTTTGCCACGCGCAGCGCTCGGTCCTCGACTTGGACGTCGTCGTTCTGAACCTCGCCCAATGCACGGCGTCGCCCACGGACGTTGCGGCCTTTCTCCGCTCGCTGCCACCGGCACTGCTCACGCCACCGCTGGCCGCGCTGCTCGAGGCGCTCCGCAGAGCCAGACCGCGCGGCGAGGTCTTCCCTTCGCTGCTGGCGAGCATCGACGATGTGTGGCCCGTCCCGCGCCTCAACCGCATGTGTACAGAGCTCATCGATAACGTGGTCGCCGCGATGCCCGTGTTTGTCGCTGTCGGCATGGACGGTCTTGGTTTTGACCCGTGGCCTGCCGATCGGGGCAACTTTGACTTGTCGTACTCGGCGTTCATCACCAAGTGCGCGGCCAAGCTCAAGTACGTGACGCTTGGGCTGACTATCTGCTTCCGGTCGCAGCGCACCGAGCTCCTGCGCCTTCTGCACCAACATCGAGTCGATTGGTCTCCGCCACGACACGCAGGTCCTCGAGGCCGTGACGTCGCCCGCGCACCGCGTCCGTGACATCCGACTCAGCCTCTACCACGAGACCCCAGAAAACCTGGTGGACGGCTTGCGCATCCTCGCGCGCTGGCTCGTCTCTGGTCATGCGCGTCGTTTGGAGCTGGCAAGCTACGCCGTGGAGTACGACGCCGGCCTCGCAGACGCTCTTGCCTCGTCGCCAACGCTCACCAGCCTCTACTTGAACGCGTCCAGCGGCGTGCTTCGCCAGCTCGTGGCGCATGGCCAGCCGCTACGGCACCTCTGCGTGCTGCAACTCCTCTTGACGACGCTCGGGGAGGCCCAAGCCATCTTCCCGCTCGTTGACGTAAGCAAACTCACGAAGCTCAGGCTCTTTTGCCCACGCCACGAAGCTATCACGTTCCTCCTCGCGGCACTCCCGCGCATGACGGCGCTCGAGGAGCTCGAAGTCAAGAACGGCAATGTCGGCGTCCTCGAGACGGCGGTCGAATGGCCCGAGCACTCGGCCATTCGCAACATATGGGTGTTTGGCGCTGCCTTTGCCGGCGACATCTTTCGAGCGCTTTTGCTCTGGGCCGCGCGCTCCCGCCGCCTCGAACGTATCGAGTTGCTGCACTGCCGCACGATGAACCTCAACCTGCAGTCCGTTGGTGATGCCTTTCGTCGGTGCATTGTTGCCGGGGTCCGCTACATTGGCCTGCGCGAGTGTAACATCAACACTCAAGGCGCGACGCTACTGGCAGCAGCTCTTCAAGGTGACCATGCACCCGCACCGATGGAGATCGAGCTCGTCTTCAACTCGTTTCGGTACGAAGGGACGATGGCACTGAAGGACGCGCTTCGGTCCTGCACCAGTATCACAATCACCGTTTGGAGCACCAAGAAGAAATTCAAGGCCTACAGCAACCAGCTCGTCGCGCCCAGCGACGGCGTGACCGTCGACGTGAGCCAGGACTCGAAGATAGTCTTGTGCAGCCCGGCCCCGACGCTCCTCAGCAGGCCGTAGTAGGACTGCGACCGTAGTTGCTACACAAGACGTTGCTACACACGTCATAACCATTGTCAGTTTTTTTATGAGCCAGTACTATCGTTGTTGGTGGTAGCTCGGGCTGTGGTGCTGGCGACAACGAAGGGGGGGAGATGCTATGTGTAGACGTGCCCAGTGTCGTGTTGCAGCGTCGTTTACAACTTAGTATGCTTCAGTGTACGCGGCCGAGTACTGTGCTGAAGTAGGTAGGACTAGGGTTGAGTTAAATCGATGTCAGCAGCCCATACAAGATAAATGCAACATATATCAACATACAACCACTTGAATGAAGCTCTGTTTCTGTTCTACACAAGAGGGGAAGCGGCGGTGCCAGGATTCATGTCGGGTAAACTCCCCTTTGTTGCCAAATCGTCCTGTCCGCCCACTCGATAGAACATTGTGGCGAGATTCCAGGCAGGTGGCGGTGCAGCCGTGAGTGCAGGCCACTTGTGCACAGAGGATGCTTTGAAGAGCACGGAATGCGGGGTCGCGTCGACGTGCGGGGGTGGCAGAGATACGCGACCCAAGATGCGCGCCAAACTAAGATCGTAGTGCCGTCTTAGAGGCACCACGCCAGGACGCCGACGCCACTTGTCGACATCATCGCGTTTGAAATGAAATCGCCAAAAGTTGGCACCGAGATAGAAGACGCTTTTGGGGACAAAGCAGGTCAAACTACGTTTCCGCTGCCGTCCTACAACGCACGCAATGCTCGACAAGAGATACAAAGCGCTCTTAAAACGTTAAGAAGCAAATGACCGCGTTGGTACGTCGTAGGCTTCGTCTTCAACACTTGTATCGACGATCCCCCTTCGACTGGATCGGGAATTCGATTCATAGCAGCATTCATGCAATTACAACGTCCAGAGGCTTTAAGTTCGCAATTCTCGGCTTCTGCACTCGCAGCGATGTATTATCTCAACCTAGGGGATGGTGTTTATGTGGCCTAGTATGCCAGAGGTTAGGAGTTTATGAAAAACACTCGATTGCTGTCTAAGACATAACAGTATATCATAACGATATATTTTAAATAGTGTGAGAATCGCCACCTCAACCATGATCGACGCCGCACAGACGCGTCAACGCGAGGCTGCACCGGTTCCTGTCGTTCTATAGCATCCTCGTATCATGGAGATGAAGGTTTGGACGCCGAACGCAGCGCATGCATGCGAATCCCAACGTTGATTTTTCGAGGTGGCCAAAGAAACGCCCAGATGCACAACGTGTTTTCGCGCAGTTTGAAAACTCGACCGACTCCGACGCGGGCAGCCACAGTTGGCTATGCATATGGACTGGCCTAGCAAGTTGCGTTTGGGACGTGGTAGGCGCTTGGGCTCTCACAGCAAAGTCGTACTGCCGAGCGTCGTTTTTCGCCGACTTGTACATATAAATTCGAGTAAAAATGTCGAGTTTTCGCAGAATCCGAGAGCGCTATCTCTCTTACATGGTTTCGAAGAGCATATTACATTGGCGATGGTGGTTGTAAAGTCCGCTACAGCGCCGCTAGCATTTTATTATACTATTTGAATGCCTACACTATAAAGGGAAATAATGGCTCCAAATAGTATGTTCAATATATTGTCAAGAACTCTCGTCGCAGAGCTCGAACTGTGACGACATACATCGTTTCGTACTCTCGAAAGTGCACTCTATTACCATGTCAAGTATGAGCGCTTTCGTTTTCAATCATGAATTGTGCTCCAACTCTCGCTTCACCGAGCCTTTGGTGTTCGAATGTGGCTATATTTGGTATTTATGGCAATACCAAAATTAAGGTTGGACGCGCACAACGTGAGCCATTACATGGCGCTTTGAGCCTTCGTAATCCTAGGCAGACGTGTCCTTGGCCACTGAAATGATCCCAGCGTTGCGGCTCCGCGCATATAGTGTAGTTTCGAATATGCAAATCAATTCATTGCAAAATCACCCAGTATTTTCACTCATATATATCTACATGGAGTAGCTCTACGTTAGCGCCGGAGGAGCGTCTCGAGTCGGCGCTGCCCGACGGCCTTGCGCTCGGCGCGCTCGCGTCGAAGCTGGTCGAGGCGACTGGAGGAAGACGACAGACTTGACTGTCTTCGTCTTCTTGAGCTCCGTGTGCGTCGTATTACCGGCAAAGTCGAGCACGTCGGCTTCCCGCGTATCGTTGGCGGCGACCATGAGTACCTTGGGCTTGCCCACGATCGCACCCATGGGTCGGCGCTCGCTGCACGTGGCGCCTCGGTGGCGTCGTTGTCGTCTTGGCTCTACTGGGGGACAGGCTTGCGAAGGCGGCTTGCGTCGGCCCGTCTGGCAGTGAACCTCGCATAGCGTTTCGCCGAGCGCGATACCTTTGTCGATGTACTTCTTGATGCAGGCGA